GGAGTCTTCAGGATAAGAACCCCTAACAGAAAGCAGCAGGCATGTATACTTTGAAAAATGATCATTAATTGGCCTTCCCTATACCATGGTTGAGAAGTTTTCAGTATCATTAAGTAAGGAAATTTACATGGCTACTTACTCAGGAACATAACAAAAAGAAGAACCGAAGTAAGGCTTAGGGGAACTCTTACTTAGTAGAGCAGGCTTCTCCCTAATGATAGTGAAATAGGCCTTTTTTGTACCTCTCTTTCAACTGCTCTGGAGGATCCATTCATTCAACAGACAGTTACTGAGAGCTCACAGTGTACCAGGCACTGTTTTATAGGCTGTGAATACAGTATCAACAAGGCAGGCAGGGTCTGTATTGAGAGCTTATGTGTCCTTACGAAAGACAGACAACAAATAAAAGAGGTAAATCCATTTAGCGATACCACCAGTAGTATGTTGGTCAGTGTTTAACCATTTAACACTTGATGTGGGAGAGCTGTGAGTTACAGCATTTGTCAATTTTTGTGGGATAGATGTTCCCACCAGGGCAGATTTAAAGTGAGCCATCTGACCCCAAAAAACACTAACCTGGGGAGAAATGGGCAGTAGCACGCAGTTAGACATGATCTTCACTTTCCAGCACGATAAACAACCTCAAGAACGCAGATGATAGTACAATAATGAGGAAATACTAAGTTTTCAGTATTTATTACTCTGTTTTTTAACACGATTTAATTATAAATTTATATAATTTAATCTTTAATTCTTAATAATGGCTGTGTTTTAAGAATGGGCTCACAAACTTCATGAAAATTTAACAATCAGCTCTTGTAAGCCAATAGAAGACTGCTGTAGCACACCATTGGAAAGAGAATATAAGGAAAATAAAGCTGGGGGCAGGGCATGGTGGCTTACACCTGTAATCCCAGTGATTTGGGAGGCCAAGGCAAGAGGATCAATCACTTGAGACCAGAACTTTGAGACCAGGTTGGCAACACAGTGAGGCCCTGACTCTACACAAAATAAAAATTAAAAAAATCAGTCAGGTGTGGTGATATGCACCTATAGTCCTTGCTACTAGGAGGCTGAGGAGGAAGGATCACTTGAGCTCAGGAGTTCGAGGTCACAGTGAGCTATAATTGTGCCACTGCACTCCACCCTAGGTGACAGAGTGAGATCCTGGCTCTAAAAATAATTAATTAAAACGCCAAAACTAAAAAGAAAAAAAAAAGAAAATTGGGCAACTAATGAGGAAAATGAGGAAGAGTGACTCGAGAGCTGCTTTAGATTCAATCGTTGTGGAAGGCCTCTCTGAGGAAGTGATATTTAAGTTGGAGACCTCAATAATACAGAGAAACAGCAATGAAAACTTCTGGGAAAATGTAGCATGGCACACAGAAGGGACTATGAGCATTCCGAGGAAAGAGCATGCTTGCTGTCTGAGAAACAGAAGGCCAGAGTGGCTAAAGTCCAGTGAACAAGATTAGTAAGTCAGAGCAACAGCAGTTAAGAGATCATGTACGGTCCTGTCAGACACTGTAAGGCATCTGGATCTTTCACTGGGACTTTAACAGGAAGTCATCATCTGGGTTATAGCACACCAGTGGTTAATCAATCCTCAGTCTTCTTTTCATTCTAGGGTCTCGCTGAAAGCTTTCAGGTTCACCAATGGCTTCAGACACAACCTACTTGCTGACGACTGCCAAATCTATATATTTAGGCCAGACCCCCTCTCTTGCTCTGGCACCATATTTCTAACTCTAACCATGGGATGTATCTGGCCCAGAACATGATAATCCCTAAATTAAAAATCATTACATTTATCTCTTACATCACAAACTGAGTATACACCCCAAACTGAATTCTATTCTATTACCCCGACTAAACCTGCTCCTCCATATTTCCTATCAGCGAAAGGCATCAATTTGCCCAGTTGCCAAATCATAGAAACCCAATAGTACACTTCACATAGGCTCTTTTCCTTAGCCACCACATACAAATGGTTCCAAAGGCAGATGATTTACTGTCCTAAGTATCACACAAATTCATCAATTTCCCTTCTTCCCCGGCTCACTATTACTGTCTTACTTCAGCCTTCATTACTTCTCTGGATGACTGCAATAGTATTCTAACTGATCTCCACTTCTATGCATCAGATTCATTCCCCAACCCAATTCTCTTCCTTCAGTCTCTACTTAAGCGAAACAGGTTGCCTACACAGATAATCACATCAGAAACCGAATAGTCTTCTCAGACTTTCAAAAACACAAATGTACTTTGGGAAGCTAAGGTAGGTGGATCACTTGAGACCAGGAGTTGGAGATCATCTTGGCCAACATGGTGAAACCCTGTCACTACTAAAAATACAAAAATTAGCTGGGTGTGGTGGGGGCATGTACCTAAAATCCCAGCTACTTCGGAGGCTGAGGCAGGAGAATTGCTTGAACCCAGGAGACGGAGGTTGCAGTGAACCAAGATCGAGCCACTGCTACCCAGCCTGGCAGCAAGATGGACGGGAGGGAGGGAGGGAGGGAGGGAGGGAGGGAGGGAGGGAGGGAGGGAGGGAGGGAGGAAAAAAGAAAGATCAGCTTAGATGTCACCTTTTCTTAGAAACCTTCTCCAAGTTCCCAAACTAGCCAGTTGACTCTTCTTGTCACTCTTACAATACACTGTGCATGCTTCAATCGTTGCCCTTATCCTACTTAACTGTAATCATTTGTTTACTTTTATGACTTCTTATGCCCTTAAAGGCCAAGCCCGGATCTGTAACTTCTGTATCTTAGAAACTGAGAATAAGGAGTAAGATACTGTATATACTCCTAATGTTTGTTGTAATCAGCTGTATCTTAAATATTTCTAAAGTGCTACTTTTAATCAGAGAGTATTACACAATAACAGTGTATCTGGGGAAATAAAAACAGCCTGAAGGACTAAGAAAAAGTAAGGTAACCATGGAAGTAAAGGCTATCCAGTCACAGAACAGTAGTGAGAACTACCTACTGGTAAAGAGAGAGTTGCTGTCCAGCATGAGAACTACAGCATGCTCACATCCAACTGCCATAGTTTTTCACATGAAAAAGTAGACTCAAGTCTTATTAAAGAATCATTGGCAAAGGAGGAAGTAAAACAAAACAAAAAACCCCAACTCCTTCCTTTAACGTACAAAAGGAAAATTCCAGCCAATTCACAAACCAATTGAGAGCTGAAAAAGCTACACATTAAAAGGTGGATCTGCACAGCAACCCTCTTCCCTTCAACCCTGCTCTGGAGTAGCAGAGTCAGAAAGCAAAGTTGAAGTACGTCCACCACAGAACTGTGGGGCGATAAGACCAATGAAGAGAGCGATTTGAATGATAAGCTTTAGAGAACTAGGCAGTTAGCAATCAGATACTGAAAGTTCTTAATACAGAGGGTACAGAAGTTTCTCCATGTTCCAAAGAATATTGATGTCACAATTTTAAAGTAGCCATATTCTCTTTAGAAACTGGGGTGTTTATCTTGCTCTTTTGTGTCATCCCTGTTTTGACCTTTCTGCACAAATGAACACTATATTTAAACCAAAGCGGACACTAAGCACCAGGACGTGCTGACATGATTTTTTTGTTTTTTTTTTTTTTGAGACGGAATCTCGCTCTGTTGCCTAGGCTGGAGTGCAGTGGCGTGATCTCGGCTCACTAAAACCTCCGCCTCTCGGGTTCCAGCAATTCTCCTGCCTCAGTCTCCCGAGTAGCTGGGATTACAGACGCCGGACACCACGACCGGCTAATTTATATGTATTTTTTTTAGTTGAGACGGGATTTCACCATGTTGGCCAGGATGGTCTCCAACTCCTGACCTCAGGTGATCCGCCCGCCTCAGCTTCCAAAAGTGCTGGAATTACAGGCGTGAGCCATCAAACCTGGCCCCTAATATGCTTTTAAAATGCATTCTTTTATTTCCTCCTAAAGTAGCTGAAAACTAATTTAGTGGTTAAAAACAACAAGAAACAAAAACCAAATCAGTTGCCCCAGGAATGTGCAATCGTGAAGGCTACAAAGCTTCCATCTTCATGAAAACAGTGGGTGACCATCTGTCGGCAAAAAAAGATCCGTTAAAACGGGGTTGGGGACAAAAACGCAAGCAGGAGAGAAGCTGGGTGGCGCTTGCTGTCCTCCAAATTGATTTGTGGAAAAGGTACAATAATGACTGGAAGACAAAAACAGGCAATAAAAATCCTAGAAGTTCTAAATCTTCCTACGTTAAAGTGTTTAAAACTCTATCCCCACATACAAGACAAGTGCTTTACTCCCAGGAATGTAACATCAGCAAAGGGCGGGGTGCAGAGCCACCGACTATCTCAGGGCGGGTCAGACCCGCAGGTTTCTCAGGTTTGCCCAAAAGGTAGCTCGACACGCTCTCGCTAGAGATGGGGAGACTCCAATTCTCATCCATTATTCCTGTGTCCAGGGGCTTTCTGAAGGCCCAGGGCCTGACAGAAAGATAAGGAACAAGTGGAAAGGAACCAAAGGAACCATAATCGGTAGAAACTTCTAAAAGCATGCACACACAGAGACACACGGCGATACACCGTTGTCTTGGAAACCAACCCAACCAACTAACCCCTGCTCGGGAGCCCAGGGACCAGCTCTTTTGGGCAAGGGTCGTGGGCCGGAGGAAGGAAGAACTGGGAGAAAGGGGTCCTATCTCGCGCGGCTCCGCCCTGGGCCTCTTTTCCCTGGGTGCCTACCGAGTAGAGGACCACGACAGCGCTGGGACTGGTGGGGCCAACGGAGAAATAAGAGTTAGATGAACTGGAAGACTCCATGGTGCGGCTGCCGTCCCGGACGGGGTCTGGGATTCTTTGCTAAGCGGTTGCGGTGGTGGTGGTGCTGCTGCTGGGGGCGGTTCTTTCTCGCAGGACAGCCCTACTTTGCCTGGGGCGGTGGCACCCTCTGCGGCCGCTCCACAGGACCCCGGGCGCCGCCATCTTAGCCAGGACGGAAGCCGCGCAGGGCCCTCTAGCGCATGCGCGCAGACGCGGAACCCGGAAGTGAGGGCGCTGCGCGACGGAATGAGGATTGATCCTTCGGCGGACAACAGAATGTCGCAGGAGCAAGGGTCGGGGTCCGCCACGCCTTCCAGTTCTCCGACACTTCTGGACACTCTGCTCCAGAACCTCTACGACTTTGGTGAGTGCGGGGGTCCCAGGACCCCACGTGGAGAGCAGATTTGAGGAACGAGGGTGTCCTGTGCAGCCGGTCCTGGGCTGGCCTGTATTTTGAGGCTGAAGGTTTTTGGATGTGAAGCACCCTTCACTTCGTCCCACCCGTTCCAGTAGCGGATGCAGAACACATTTCTCCATCACACATTATTCATCAAACTTTCCAACTCGTTCCCAAGTGTGGGGACTATCGTACTTGCTTGTGGGAAGCACCAAGGCTTTCAGATTTAACGGGAGCAGTGCACACAGGACCTTGGACTCTCGAAGTAGCCCACATTTCTTCTACGTTTTCCTGAGCTCTGGGAAATCCCCTTTCCCCATGCCACCCCCAGAGACCTACCTGATGGTGTTCGATGGTGTTATTTCTCTCTGGGGCCTCGGTCCTGTTGGGTAATTCATCAGTTTCATTCTTATGTGTCCCTTGACAGGGACTTCCTAGTCCTTGACCACTTGTCCTTTTCACAACTTTTTCTTTCTTTCTTTCTTTTTTCAAACAAGTGTGCTGACCTTTTACTCTCCTTTCTTTATCTTGATGCCGGAAAAGGAAAGTAAAAGAGCCCATTAAAGTCTCATGGCATGTCAGTGGGAAGACTGTGCCACATACTTTGAAGAACTTGCACGGGGGAAGGTGACACCCTTTGCACATGCACCAAATACAATAATTAGATTTTAGGACAAAAGACATTTCTTAAAGTTGTGGCGTGATATTTTAAAAGCTATTTTTTATTTTGTAACTGCTGAAAATTCCAAGCTCACCTAAACAGTAGGAATCATACTTAAAAGTATTGAGAACTTGCCATATACCACATGCTTTTCATGTTTTTGCTCATTTAATTTTCAGCTTCATGAAATAGACACTGTCATGAATCCCACGGTTGCAAACGTAGAAACTGGTACTAGAGGTTAATGAAACCTGATGCAGGTTGTGTAACTGGTAATTTTTGCAGAGCCTGGGTTCCGATTCTAGCCCCAGACCCCACTCTTTAACTAGCATTTATGTGTCCCTGGACATATTGGAGGACAGAGAAGACTTAGTCTCTGATCTTGAGAAGCTTAAAATCTAGAGGAGAAGACTGTTCTATAAAATACTGTAGTTTATGTCAGTACAGGCTGAAAGTCATGGTAGGAGCTCTGAAGGCATTGAATGTGTCTATTCGTATTTATATTCTTAATGCCAAAGGTTAGTTGGCTTTTCAATACTTACTGTGTAAAAGATGAAGCAAATATTCGCAAGCATAAATCAACAGCTGGTAATGTAGAGAGCTCTGTGGTATTTGTAATGCATGTGAATAAGGAAGTGTAAGATTCTGGTTAGAACTTTCAGGTGACTGGTCAGAGTTTGAACAGGTGAAATACAGAGTAGATAAGAGGATTTAATAGGAAACAAAGGCATTCAGATTGAGCCAGTTGTCTTAGGTTCATCTTAATTCTTAACTGTGAAAGAAAATAGGAAGACTACTCCATGTTCCTGTAACCCAGAAAGCATTAAAAAGAAACAGTGGCTCCAGTAGCTAAGTGTAAAGCCTATTGGGATTACCAGCCCTGGGGACTATTGCTGTGATGACACTTTGAGTAAGGACCAAGGTAGGGGCTAAAAGTGATTGTGCTAACATGGGTCAAAGACATAAATATAGTTACCTAGAAAAAGATGACTACATTTTGAATTCTATGCATTTTGCAAATACACTCTACTTGAAGGAAAAAAATAGTTTATTTCTTTGTGTGTGCTTCTGGGTGCATATAGCCCTGCAGTATGTACAAGTACATTCATATGATACTGATGGTAGCTAACACTGAAAATCTTTATTTTCCTCCTTGTGTTTGAACAAACAGGAGAGACGGAAGGTGAAACAGAACAGCAGAAGATCCTAAAGAAAAGGGAAAACAGGAAGAGAGATGTGGAGGGTGCAACAGCCGTGGCAGCAGAGCCATCTCCCCTACCTTGTTCTCTCATAAGAGGCCAGAGGAAGAGTGCTTTAAGCTTCTTCAAGGAAATCAGAGAAGAGCTGCGTTGTTCTCCTGCTGGCACCCCCACAGGTCCCTCTTCAGGACCAGAGATCCTTGCTCCTGCAGTTCCTACCTCTTCCCTAGAGAACCATAGGGAACAAGTAGAAGTGGTAGAATTTCACAGCAGAAATAAAAAAAGAAAACCGAAGCCAGATCATAACAAGAGCACACAGGTAATGAGTTGGTTAGCTTAAATGAAACCCCTGCTGTTGTAGTATTAGGTGAATAGCTTTTTAGACTGTGGCAAGAATGCCTGACTATCCCCAGGCCCGCGGATTTGCCAGAAGGATTCACAGGACCCAGGACTCAGCATATAGCTCTTATCAGTCATGTAGGCCTACAGACTGACCTTAGTTATTCAAGTTGTAAACCTCCAGAAAAAAAGTAGGTATTCACCACCAATCGCATTGCTAGTATAAACTACCTGGGCAAACTTATTACAGCGGCGGCTTAAGACCTCAAGGATGCAAAACCACTCTGATCAGGCACAGTATTCTAATTGCTTAATTCTCAGGAGCCAGCCAATTGCCAGTCATGAAAATAGGACTTTCTTGGGAATGTACAGGGTTTGGTAAACACAGGCTTGCTGAGTTAACCCTTTGAGCAACTCTTTCTGGCATTACTGCTGTGTGCTAGCCACAGTTGTAGGCACTGGGATATAGCAGTGAACAAAATATGTAGAAATTCTTGCTCTCAAGGAAAAACAAGGCTGGGGGAAAAGCAATTTGAATTTTCTGAGCAGTAATCTTTTTCAGACTTAACTTGTATATCTGACCCAAAAAATTCAGTCCTCAAGGGAGGTGTGGTTACTCCTCCAAATATTTTTAATTTATTTATTCACGAGAATATCATAATGGCTTTGTCAGATTCATTGCTCAAATCCAGATGTTCTATTTCTGTAACATCCCCATGTCCTACAAACCTTTGTCTATCAGCAAAGAAGTGAGGATTGTATGTATTCGTTTCTAAGGCCACTCTAACAACTTACCACAAACTTGGTGACTTAAACCAATAGAAATGTATTCTTTTACAGTTCTGTGTGCCAGGTGTTGGCAGAGCCATGCTCCCTCTGAGGGCTCTAGGGGAGAATTCTTTACCTCTGACCAGAAGGTGGCTCTGAGAGTTTCCTTGGCTTGTGGTTGTATAACTCTAATCTCTGCCTCTGTCTTAATGTGGCTTTCATCCCTGTGTGCCCGAGTCTCATATTTCCCTCTGCCTTTCTCTTGGCTTTAAGACCCACCCTGAATTTGGAATGATCTCCTCTTGAGATGTTTAATTACACTGTAAAGATCCTTTCCTAAGTAAGATTATATTCACAGGTTCTGAAGAGGAGTGGGTCATGGCCATAAGTTTTTAGAGGCCACAATTCCACCCACTACAAAGATCATTTGGCTTGCACTGTTCTTTATGTATGTATAAATGCATGTTAGTGTCCGTCTTTATGGTTTTAAAAGCCATCTGATAATCTTTTCTAAAATTCGGGAGGTCTTCATGTCAAGTTCACTGGCATCTCTTCCTCAAAGATCATTAGTGCATTCTGCAGGCTGAGTGTGGTGGGTCACACCTGTAATCCCAGCACTTTGAGATGCTGAGGCCAGAGGATTGCTTGAGCTCAAGAAGTCGAGGCTGCAGTCGGCTGTGATTGTGTCACTGCACTCCAGCCTGGATGACAGAACAAGACCCTGTCTCAAAAAAATAAATAAATAAAAATAAGATTATAGTGAATCTGTAACCATATCTACCTTTATTTTAGAATTCTAGATAAGTAAGCTTCATAAACTCTTCTGTTCCAAATACTGAGGCTCTGGGAACTGTTGCAGAAGGGCCGAGAAGTGTTGATTCCTTTGGTGTTTGGGGCAACAGAGCCCCCAAGCTGGCCCTCTCCCAGTAGCCCAGTGTACCCTACGAACACTGGTATTTTCTGTATGTATCATAATGTGAAAAAGGTTGGAAAGTGCTGCGTTGCAATGTAATTTGGCATTTGAAGACTTAAACTAACGTAAAGCATTTTGGCACCCTTTTTTGTTTCTTCAAATGTCTCAGACTTCCGTTTCCTCTTACATTCCCTTGTATTCTTCTTTCTGGAATGGAAAGTTTCTCTTTAATAGAAAGGACAGAAGAGTTGACATTGAATGAGTCTGCATTTCTTTGTTGCTTAGTAATAGAACATTTGTGGCAGGCTGTCAGATTGTCTTTTGCTTCCAGTTCCAAGCGAGCCCTTACGCATTCTAGTTGGGTTTCTCAGGAGCCTCAGCTCAGTCTACATTTTGAACTTCCTGACCTTAATGAAATTTGTCATTTGTCATTGGTGCTCTGCTGTTTCCTCGTTTTTGTTTTTTTTTTAATGTATCCTTTGAAAATGTGAGTGTCTACCTCCTGTCTCCTGATTAAGGAGACAGGAGGTAGACACATTAAAAACACATACACCCATGAAGTGACCTTAGAGTGTTGACATTACAGTGTGGAAATAAATACATGTGAATATAATGCTAGTTCTTACGGCATGTCCTGGGTACGCCAAGTAAAAGAGTAGTCAGCCAACTGGTGCTAATTGGAATACACCATCTCTGCTGAGTTTATGTAACATGGGAAATTATAGTTGTGCCCTCGTTCCCTAAAAACTTCTAAGCCATTGTAGGACAGTTAAACAGACATGGGTGGCAAAAATGTATGATGGGTAATGAAAACCTTCATGAGCAGTCATGGCATCAGCTGGTCATCTGTAGAGAATGCTTGAGAAATGAAGGAGGGGAAGGTGAGTTGGACAGCAATCCAGCTGGCCCTTCCTAGCCCCAGGAAATGACCTTATTTTTCCAGAACTAGTGCTATAAATTCTATGATTAAGCTGCATGGTGCATTGAAGCAGGTTTTCATGGGTTTATCTGGGAACCTGGCCACCATTTATATATATATTTTTACATTTAGAGACAGGGTCTTGCTCTGTCACTCATGCTGGAGTGCAGTGGCGTGATCATAGCTCACTGCAGCCTCCAATTCCTGGGCTCAAGCCATCCTCCTGCCTCAGCCTTCCAAGTAGCTAAGACTACAGGGCACACCACTATGCCTGGCTCATTTTAAAATTTTTTGTAGAGATGGGGTCTTGTTTTGTTGCCCAGGCTGATCTTGAACTACTGGCCTCAAGAAGTCCTTTTGTCTCAGCCTCTTAAAGCACAGGGATTACAGGTGTGAGAGCCACTGTGCCCAGCCATCATGTCTCATTTTTAATGTAGTAACTATACAAGTAATTTGACTGGAAATACTAAGAGATTACATATTCATTCCTTTATTTCCAATCACTGGGTGCCTGCTATCTGCAGACCTTGCAGATAGAGCAGTGAAGAAGATAATAGTCCTTTGCCCTTCTGGAGTATACTATACAATCTACTTTGTAGTCGAGCAATATAATATAATATAATTAAAAGGAATTATAAACAAATAGGGTCCTGGGGTAACATGCAGAACCTGGTCTGGATATAGTGGTCAGGGAGGTCTCTCAGGAGGTAACATTCAGGCTAATGCTGTATTAAATGGTGCTGGCGAACAGTGCAGAGAAGAGTGAGCCAAGGAGAGAGAAAACAGTCTTGCTAACACTGGGGGTGCGAAGAGGGCTGCATGTTCAGGGAGCTGGAAGAAGTCTAGCAGGAGTAGAACAGAGAGGAGAAGGCCAGGTCTCATAGGCAGTGGTGGGCCTTGGGACTTCAGTCTTTACATGAGAAGTTACCAAAAATTTCATGCAAGGGCATGAGGTGATCTGATTTAAATTTTAGAAGGATCACTATAGCTCCTTTACAGTGGATGGATTATAAGGGAGCAATAGCAAGAGGCATGGGGAGTGATCTCAAAAATGAATGGGTGAACCTACTCTTTCATAGGTGCAAGACTGCTGTAAGAAGGAAAATACTTATGCTTTTGAGCAATGAAAGTGTCAGATTAGGCCAGGCGCGGTGGCTCACACCCATAATCCCAGCACTTTGGGAGGCTGAGGCAGGCAAATCACAGAGTCAGAAGTTTGAGACCAGCCTAACCAACATGGTGAAACCCCATCTGTACTAAAAATACAAAAATTAGCCAGGTTAATTACAGGTGGCATGCGCCCCAGCTACTTAGCTACTTAGGAGGCTGAGGGAGGAGAATTGCTTGAACCTGGGAGGCAGAGGTTGCAATGAGCCAAGATTGCGCCACTGCACTCTAGCCTGGTGGATGGAGTGAGACTCGGTCTCAAAAAAAAAAAAAAAAAAAAAAAAAATGCCATTTCTCCACACCTAGCATTGGGCCATCTTGGTCTTAACATGAATCATTCACTGCCCCTGTTTCGGGAACCTTAGCCTCCTTTGTGGCTTTAGATAAGAAAGTGATAAACACATAATAGAACAGTGTTCTGTAGATCAGAAAGGACCTTTGCATTCCTGGGACTGAGGTACAGGGAGGCTGCCCCTGAGCATATAGCTAATTGCTAATATTTACTGGGGGTGTACTGAGAGTGTTAATTTATATTCGTTAACTCATTTATGGCCTTAGTCCTCACAATTCCTGGGACCTGTCTTCATTTCACAGGGGAGCCTGAGGTGTACAAGAGGTTGTGTTACTTGCCTGTAGTTAAACATTAACCCCACAGCCCCATATCTGCAATTCCAAACACCCAGAGCTCTGGAAACCACGATTTGATTGATCTTTTTTCTTTTAAGATTGGTGCAAATTTATTTGGCAGAAAAACCTGATGAAGCTTTTAAAAATCATTTTTGCTCATCTCATTTGGCGTGAATATTCTTAGATATTGCACAGAAATATTAATTATGGGTTACTGCCTTGGACCTTACTGTAAGGGGTCTGTAATACTCAGTATATTCAGTTTTGCCTTTTTAAAATATAAAGACTTCTGAATTTTAAAGCTGGAACCTAATCCTAAGGATGCCAGATAAAGGATTATGGAGCTGAAGTAAGTGCCAGAAGTCAGGTTCATATCCCAGGCTTTTGGCTTCAACACTGTGTACTTAAACTGCTGTACTAGAGAGAGCATAGGTGAGGTGAGGCTCATCTCTTTGTCCTTTGAGTGACACAAGACAAGTACACTGACTCTGAGCCATTGCCAGACATGGAGACATTTCTCCAAAGCTATTGTCAGATAGCTTTGATCATTCCACAGATTCTTGCAGCTCGCATGTTATGGACTCAGTGCCCCGCAATATGCTTGTAGTCTACTGCCCGGTGCTCCACCCTGAAATCCTGCGTGCTCCAGTGCTGCTCCTTACCTCTACACCACACTCCTTGTTTCTGAGTAGATCAGTGTTGGATGGGTGTTAGGAAGAAAGTAATCTAGTTGAAGTAATTTAGACTCATCAAGGTGTAAACAAACTTGTTAATATTTATACAGCTGTCTGCATTTTTTAAAGAGCGTTTGCTTATGCAACTACTTTCTTTCATTGGAGACAGGTTGGTTGGGCACTTCAACTAATAGATTTAAAAAAAGAAAATCTAAGCCATGTAAAGAGAAAATACCTACATCACCCCATAGACAGGTTCGCTGAGTCTCGTGGACTGCCTGCCTTCATCTCAGGTTTCTTCCAAACTGCTCTCTCTTTTTCCAGCTTTTCTTCCTTCTTCCCTGCCCAGCATGTAAGTTCTCAAAATCTCCATACATACCCCTCTTCCTTCTGTGGGATAGTAAGGCTAGGTTAGTTGGGATAGGTTAGGCTGTGATTTGATAACCAATAATCCCTACATCCCAGTGGCTTAAAAGGCAGAAGTTAATTTTTCTTACGTTACATGGCCATTGGGATTTGCAGAGCCAGGTCTGCCTCACACCATCTTCATCTAAGGACCCAGGATGGTGGGGTGCCATCATCTGGAGGGTTGTTAGTTGCTTTAGTGAAGGAAAGGGGAGTTAATGAAGGGCTCTTAAGGGTTCCACGTAGAAGTAGGCACACACCCTCCTGCTTGTGTTTCTTTGGCAGGGAAAGCCACCTAGGCCTTCCTAGCATCAAGTAAATAGGGAAGCATGAGTCTTCTTTGTGCCTGGAAGTAGAGGAGGACCCAGTATTGCCTATAGGCAGTAATGCCTCCTACTGCAGAGAATAACGGGGGAAAGAAAACCTAGGAGACCACTGATGGTTTTTCAATCAGGTCATGTATTATGAATAATGTACTGAAGTGATTTTCAAGCTATGAATAAAAATAAAACTTAGACGGTGGTGGGTCATGCTAATAGAGACTCAGCGTCTGTGAAATAATGAGCCAAGAATTTTTTTTTTCCAAAAAGTTTGTGTTTGATACATACACAGATCTAGACCTCACACCCTTTCTCAGAAAGACATCAATAGCTACAAAACTAAGATGTTTCTGGTGAACTGTTTAACAGAGGGATGAGGACACCGAGCTATTTGTGTCTGGGCCAGAGCTACCACCAAGGGGCTCTCCCGTCCCCTTGGTCTAGTTGGCCCCTCAGCCCTGGTGTCCCCACAGCCAAGGTACAGGGGGTTAGGTATTCTGTGTGGCTGTTGATGGAGATAGCAGTGACTAGGAGAACCCTGACATTGCTCCTCTCTTTTGTATGCCAGTTTCTTTCCAGGGCCCAGGGGTTTCGGCCATCTGGGATTGTTTCAAGGTTTCTTTCTGTTTTCCAATTTTTTAATTTTGGTAAAATATACACGAATGTAAAATTGACCATTTTAGCCATTTTTAAGTGTGCAGTTCAGTGGTGTTGAGCACATTCACAGTGTTGTGCTGCCCTCACCACCATCCATCTCATAACTTGTCAGCTTGCTGAAACAATGCTGATGCGCTGTACCCACTCAGCACCAGCTCCCTATTCCCTTTCCCCCAGCCCCTGGCAGCTAACCGTTCTAACTTCTGTCTCCGTGAATTTGACTCCTCTGGGTATTTCATAAAATGGAATCATACACATACCCTTCTGTGACTGGCTTATTTCACTTAGCATCATGTCTTCGAGGTTCATCCATGTCGTAGCATGGGTTGGAAATTCCTTCTGTTTTCAGGCTGTGGAATATTCCATCATATGTATATGCCACATTCAGAAATATCTGTTCATCTGTTGGTGAACCTTTGAGTTACTTCTGTGTTTATTATGAATAATGCTGCTGTGAATATAGGGGTACAAATACCTCTTCAAGACCCTCCCTTCAGTTCTTTTGGATGTATGCCCAGAAGAGGAATTGTGAGATCCTATAATAATTCTATTTTTAAGTTTTTGAGGAATAGTCATAGTTCTTCTCCCCAGTGGCTATACCATGTGGTATAACATTCCCACCAATAGAGGACATGGGTTCCAGTTTCTCTACATCCTTGCCAACTCTTACTTTCTGGTTTTTTTCATAGTAGCCAGTCTAATGGGCCTGAGAGGGTCACTTTCAGGTTCCTTAAAACATGTCTACTCTTTTGGTAATAGATACTATAATGATATAGTAAGAGATGATCTTAATAAGAATTTTTTCTCTCAGCAGACTAAAACTAGTGTTTTGGAGAGAGATGTGGATATACAAGAATTTAACCTAGAAAAGGTATGTATTTTGAAATTGTTAAATAATTTTTAATTAACTTTATTTACAATATTTGTTTATAAACATGTTTATATTAAATTTATTATAAGTTTATAATATGTGAACTATGTAGTATAAATGTTAGATATGACCAAAAAAATAGTTTTATGATGTCTAAAAATGAATATTTTACATGTCTAAAGGTTGGGAAAATGATTAAGAAAATCATACTGCATTCACTTTTTTTTTTTTTGAGACAGAGTCTCTCTCTGTCACCCCGGCTGGAGTGAAGTGGCATGATCTCGGCTCACTGCAGCCTCCAGCTCCTGGGGTCAAGTGATCCTCCCACTTCAGCCTCCTAAGTAACTGGGATTATAGGTGTGCACTACCACACTCAGCTAATTTTTGTATTTTTAATAGAGGTGGGGTTTTACCATGTTGGCCAAGCTGGTCTCGAACTCCTGACCTCAAGTGACCACCTGGCTCAGCCTCCCAAAGTGCTGGGATTACAGGTGTGAGCCACCATGCCGGTCTGCATTCACTTGATTGAATATTATGTACTCATTTAATACAGGATGGTTTTGTGACTACAACACTACTGATACAATGGTAAGTATGGGGATATGTGTATTATGTGGTTGTAGTGTTTTTAAAAATGTGTAATAAAAAAGACAGGAAGAAGTAATTCAACTACTAAGAGTGGGTATTGCTTTTTCTCTTCCTTCTGAAACCATGGGTCTGTGTTTGAAGCTGCTGCAATATCTTGTTTCTAAGTGTGAGTGTGTGTGTTTGGAGAGGTGCTTTTCAGTTTAAATTATTGCCTATATGGACAATGGCTTGTTTTAGAGAGCATCCTAAAGTACTACAGAGCTCTGCATTCAGTCCTGGCTCTGTTATTACTTTGTGCAGAGATAATTCTTTCATCAGCTGTCCAAATTAAACATGGGAGATGGCCAGGCCTGGTGGCTCACACCTGTAATCCCAGCACTTTGGGAGGCTGAGGTGAGAGGATCCCTTGAGCTAGGAGTTCAAGGCCAGCCTGGGCAACATAGTGAGACCTCACCTCTATAAAACATTTTTAAGCATTAGTTGGATATGGTAGTGTGTGCCTATAGTCCTAGCTACTCAGGAGGCTGAGGCAGGGGATCACATGTTCAGGAGGTCAAGGCTGCAATGAGCCATGATCACACCACTGTACTCCATCCTGGGGGGTAACAGAGCAAGACCCTGTCTCAAAGGAAAAAATGGGAGAAAGATGTTGTGAGACATGGTATATGGTAGGAGAGCCTCCATAGAGCTCCTTCAGCCACACAGCAGTGGAGTTATTATTCCTGTGTGCTATTACAGTGCAGTAGATCTGAAATGCATTACTTCTGACAATATGTTTTTTTTTCTCTGGAGTTGTTGGAATGCACTTGTGTCTGATTGTGTTTTGTGTCTGCAGGCTCGTTTAGAAGTACACCGGTTTGGGATCACGGGTTACGGAAAAGGAAAGGAGAGAATCCTGGAACAGGAACGTGCCATCATGCTGGGTGCTAAGGTGAGGGGCTGCTGCTGCCTTGCATCACCAGACAACATTTAGAAAAAGCAAGAGCAAGGAAAGCCAAGGGCAAGTCAGGGCGAGGGACACATGAACGCTACTGCAGAATAAAATATGATGGTATGTTTCCTTGTTCTTTCATTTCAGCCTCCTAAAAAGAGTTATGTGAATTACAAGGTTTTACAGGAGCAAATTAAAGAAAAAAGGGCAGCAAAGGAAGAAGAAAAGAGACTGGTAGGTATAATGGTCTGTTCTTTATTAAACTGGAATGGAAAGATGGATGCCGTTTGCTACAGTGGAAGGCTGGAAACCGCCACTTGGAGAGCAGTGAAGACCCCAGAATTAAAGGATCCTATGCTCTCTACTTCTTCAAGTTAGCTGTATTTAATAATACCAGCCAAGTAATCTGGCATACTTACATGCAAGGTTTGCTTTGAAATAGCAAACTGCTTGTCTTAGTCTGTTTGCATTGCTGTAAAGGAATGCCCGATGATTGCTAATTTATCAAGAAAAGAGGCGGATTTGGTGCATGGTTCTGCAGGCTGCACAGGAAGCATAGCACTGGCATCTGCTCGGCTTCCATGTGTACAGAGATCACATGGCAAGAGTGAGACATGAAAGAGTGAGGCAGCAGTGGGGAGAGGTGCTAGGCTCTTTTTAACAATCAGCTCTCAGGGAAGTGGGAACTAACAGAGGGAGAACTCACTCATTACCCTGAGGAGAGCACTAAGCCATTCATGAGGAATCCATTGCCATGACCCAAACACCTCCCACAAAGTCAACTCTCTAGCACTGGGATCAAATTTTAGCACGAGGTTTGGAGGGTCAAATACCCAAACTATAGCACTTCTGGTCCCATAATGCAGGTTACTTTGATCTGCATTTTATGTTGTATAGAACACAAGGGCCTATAAAAACCACAAGGGGAATAGATGTTACTCTTTCTACCTTTTACCTATAGTGAAAGATTTGAGTTTTCATTGTAAGACTATTAGTCTTACCTGGAATAGGCATTCACATTCTTTTTTCTTTTTAACTGAGATGGGATCTTGCTGTGTTGTCCAGGCTGGTCTTGAACTCCTGGGATCAAATGATCCTCCTTCCCTGGCTTCCTGGAGTGCTAGGACTATAGGCATGAGCCACCACACCAGGCCCAGCCTTTCACATTCTTGAAAGGGTTTTAGGGTAAAACTTTGAGACTGTTATGTTTAATATGCCCATGAAAAAAATATTAAAAGTGGCATCTCAGTGACTTTTGCTCACAAACCTCTTGCCTTTTTTTGAATCCCATTATCCATTACTGATAATGTATATGATCTTAAATTCTGAAATCAGGTCCAAGAAACAGATATTTTCAAGAAAAAGAAGAGGAGAGGACAGGAAGACAGGTGAGTGATTTGATCAGGCCCAGGCCCTGGGATTGAATGATCTGGATAAACCTATTGATTAGTTCTGAAAAGGATGCTTGGAATGTATGTGTTGCTGCTAGCCCATCAGAGTGCTTCACTGTCTCTCCTTTATCCTAATCAAAGTGGGATTTAGTTAATTACCCAAGATCAAACAGCTGCCTGAGAACGGAGTTAGGAAGTTTCTCCAATCTCCCACTTTAACCAGACACTCTGGGTGACTAGTGGAAAAGCTGCAGTTTTCATTTCCAAGGGAAGACTGCTGTGCTAAGAGCCTGCTGCTGCAGTAGCATGGTCTGGGTCTGTATTGCCTGATCTTTGACATACCATGTAAGACAGAGCACTGTAATTATGAATGAGGGGTGTTGACTTCGTTGCTTTATACTTGTTTCTTAGTTTTCGTTCAAGTGCCTTTTCCTCTCTCTTTGAATTACTGTTTCATAATGGACTCTTTTTGTCTTAGCCTTTTTCTTGGGCTCCTAGTACACGTGTACGTGCTGTAGTGGTCATTTGTTCTGGGCACCAATCTCTGTCTATTGAAGGCCTCTTTGTGCCAGGCATTTGGGTGCCTTAGGTGTTGGTGTATAGCTATAATCACACTAAAGATATTCCTGGCCTTGAGGGGCTTACATTGTAGAAAGAGAAACACCCCAAAACATACTAACAGATAAGATAAGTACGATGATACCAGGTACCAGCAAGTACTGTGGAGAGGTCTGAAGAGAGCATTGCAAAAGAAAACCGCAGGGAGAGGGTGAGCTGGGAAATTAGTCTGAGGAGGTGACATTGGAGCTGAGAACTGAACAGAGAAGAGGGGCATCCTGGAAAGATCTGGGAGCAGAACATTCCTCGCGGAAGGAGCCAGTGCAAGGGCCCTGAGGCAGGAAGGCAGTGGCAGGTTTCAGGGACCACAGGAAGGCGCAGTGGGAAGAGGGGTCTGCGTGGCATGTGACCAGGAATTTGCAGGCCAGGCTGCAGTGGCCTGGTTGGTGGTACTGTGATGCTTGTTTGAAGCTTAACTATTTATAGTACCTTTCTCTCACTTTAAATGTAGGAAATCCAAAAAGAAGAAGTCCACTCCCAGTATTTTGTCCAGTGGACGGATTGGACAGGTTGGAAAATTCAAAAATGGAACATTGATTCTGAGCCCAGTTGATATCAAGAAAATAAATTCTTCCAGAGTGGCCAGATGAAGTACTTTATCAGATACAACAAGGAAGGGGAACAACCGAGCCAGCTGCAGACACTGGACCCCGTGAGACCCTAGACAGATCGTTCTTACCACACGCTTCACAGACTGCTTCGTTTCGAAGGAAAGAAAGTCAGACAGAAGTAACATTTCCAGTTGCTGAAGCGTCTGCTTCATGGTGCTGAACGCACCAGGCCAAGTGCAGCATGAATGTGAAGTGAAGCTACCGAACAGTGTCTTTTAATGTTCTCCAGCAAGCTTTGCTCCTGTTTCACGTTTACTGGCATTTGGTGCATTTGCTTGTAATACAATTTTTTTATAACTACTGTTTTGTAAATACTAGTAGTTTACATTAAATTGCCTTATAATATTTTTTAATGATTTCATGTTACGATATCATGAAAGAACCAAGCATTGGGTAATTTATCAGTGTTGTGGAAAAGCAGTTTTAATGTTTAGCCTACCATGTGTACAAAGTCTACTTCGTAAGAAGTGATATAAATAAAATACAACTTTTGTAGTATGTAGTCATAACAGTATGACTGTTAACAGATGATTTTAACTCATATTTTTGTACCCACATTCAAGTGAATGTTTTCATCAGAGTTGCCATCACTTTTGCAGCTATACTTAACGTTTTTAATGATACTGCCCTTGCTTATAGTGATAGCAACTCCTCAAAGCTTGCAGCACTTTAAAAAAAAAGTCTTCAATGATGGTAACAATTTGGACTTTAAAAAAATTTTTTTTTTTTTTTCAGTTTTTTAGACACAAGGCCTTGATCTGTCACCCAGGTTGCAGTGCCACAGCATGATCATAACTCATTGCAGCCTTGAATTCTTGGGCTCAAGTGGTTCTCTTGCCTCAGCCTCCCTAGTAGTTGGGACTAAAGGCATGCACTACCACGCTCAGTTAGTTTTAAAAATGTTTTGTAGAGACTACATCTTACCATATTGCGCAGGCTGGTCTTAAACTCCTGGGCTCAAGCTGTCCTCCTGCCTTGGCCTCCCAAAGTGCTGGGATTACAGGTGTGAGCCACCACGCTCATCTTCCTCTTATACGCATGTCTCAGTGGAATTCTGGAAGAGCTTCTCCCCACACTATGTGAAACAGACCTGGCACTGTGATGGGTTGTGGTGGGCACTGTTAACGTCCCACTAGATGCCCTTTCAGGGGTGAAGGACTTACTCCTTCAGCTGCCGAGAGTGCTTAGGAAAAACAGGCCTCAGCTGTCAGCCCTCTTCAGGGACTGCCTCATCCCCTTGCCAGGGGAACCTACAGTCGATAAATGGTCTGTGGGGGAATGTGAAAGCCTAGTCCTCTCATCCCAAGTCAAGACAACTCCAGAGTTCAGTTGGCTGAGGCCTTTGTTGGTTCTGCATCGCGCTCCGTGTCGCCCTCCATCCAATCCTGCTTCCTTCCCTGGGCCTCCATGAGTGTTGATCCCAAGAGCACGCCCTCAGAAACATTTGCTCTCTCATCTCTGCATCTGTCTCCTACCCAGCTGAGTCCGTTTGGTAATCCCGAAGGTAACTGGTCTTAGGGGCTATGAGGGGCTATGTCAGATGGCTGTTCTTGAGGATTATGAGGTGAGAAGGCAGCAAAGGACAGAGTTCAGGTTCAGGCATGTCTAGTCTCGGTCTGTGTGGCTGAAGGGGCAGGTTAGGCTCCTTGCTGCTCACGGGTTTGTTGGGATGTTTCCGCAGGTCTCTATGTGGAACCCAAGATCTACTTTGCACTCATGAATTGCCCTTAACCACATGTTAACTGTTATGTATCTCCAGCTCTATCATCCCTTGCAAAAATGAATTTTACGACCTTCCTACTATTTGTGGTGGGGCCTTCTGGTTTATTTTTATTTTTTATTTTATTATTGTTATTATTATGTATTTATTTTTTAAGGCTAGTCAAGTGAAGCAGTGGGAGTGGAGATTTTTTTTTTTTTTTTTTTGAGAGAGTTTCATTCTTGTTGTCAGGACTGGAGTGCAATGGCATGATTTTGGCTCACTGCAACCTCCGCCTCATGGGTTCAAGTGATTCTCCTGTCTCATCCTCCCAAGTAGCTGGAATTATAGGCATGCACCACCACGCCCAACTAATTTTTGTATTTTTTTTAGTAGAGAGGGGGTTTCACCATGTTGGCCAGGCTGGTCTCAAGCTCCTGACCTCAGGTGATCTGCCCACCTCAACCTCCCAAAGTGCTGGGATTACAGGTGTAAGCCACCTTGAGTGGCTATTTTTTATTTTTGACACAGGGTCTTGCTCTGTCACCCAGGCTGGAATGCAGTGGCACAATCATGACTCACTGCAGCCTTGACTTCCTGGGCTCCAGTGGTCCTCCCACCTCAGCCTTTTGAGTAGCAGGGACGACGGGTGCACTACCACACCTGGCTAATTTTTGTATTTTTGGTAGAGATGGGGTTTCGTCATCTGTTTGTTGCCCAGGCTGGTCTCAAACTCCTGTCCTCAAGTGATCCGCCCGCCTTGGCCTCCCAAAGTGCTGGGATTACAGGCGTGAGCCACTGTGCCCAGCCTAGTTTAGAGTCATAAATAATCACCTTGAAATTCCTGGGCATGCAAAGCAGAACCACATTGACCCTGCTACTTGGCAGTCCCCAGCCCCGCTGGGGGAGAGACTAGAGTGGCCTCCCCTCCTGTAGCCTCTGCCCCATCTGGTGGGCCATCAGGGCCAGCTGGGAAAATGGCATACTTTACTGCCGAGCAGTAATGACAGACCACACCTTGTCTTTCTGTGTTGGCAGTGTCAAAAGAATTTATTTCAAATCTGCTTAAGACTGTGGTAAAACTCAGGTTTTCCAAAAGGTAATACAGAAAGTTCAATCAACCCCCAAAGACCAGAAAACACAGTGTTTGCAATTCAAAAAATACAAACGCTTGTGGATACCAATACAAAAATTAGAAAAAAGTTGCTTTCCTTCCCATTCCCCCCCCACCCCCAGGTTTTCAGTGGAACATCAACAGTAACAGGACCAAGAGCTGCCACCAAATACCAACAACCAGTGACCAAAAGTGGGTGCAAGGGGGAGGAGGAGGGAGAAGGAGAAATGGGGGTAGAGAAAGGTAAGAAAATGGGAGTTCTGTCGACGGCCAAAACAAGGACACGAAGCTTTTTGTTTCTTGTTAAACCCCTTTGCCAACGTTAAACAAACACCTCTCATGCTTAATACAACAGCTTAGTGCCAAGGCAGCAATCCTACATCATGCATTGAACGTTTTCTGCTTTGCCCGCTCCCTGCTTCCTCTGGGTGCTGAGAAAGCCAGGGGCTCTGGATGTCCAGTTTCCAGGGCTGGGAGGAGCTGGATGGGCTTCCCAGGCTGGGTCTCACCCAGTAAGTACCTGCACATTCCTGCTACGGCAGTTGCCCGCAGTCACCTTCCCAAACCTGAAGACTGGTTTTGACCTCTCCTCAGTGCTTTACTCGAGGGCCTGGCCTGGTCTGCAGCACCTGCGTCACTGGCTCACGAGTCCCTGGGCCCTCCCCAGGACTGCACTCCTTGAGAGAAGAGTGATGGCCCCAGACGAGACTTTCCTGGAGGTCTCAACTCCCAGCTCCTGACTGATGTCAACGTCAATCATTGAAAAAGCCAGGGTCTCCCCCAACCTGCATAGCCTGTGCTGGTGAAGGCCCAGTGGTTACCAGTCATCTGAAAGTGACGTGATGACCCACTAGCCCAACCAGCCTTCGAAACTTCAGCTCAGTTGCATCTCTTCACACTGTCCGTACTGGATTTCAAAACCACTCACACTGCAGAGACCTTTGGAAAGAAAGGAGACAAGCTATGGGTTGAGAGACCCCTCAGATACCAGAACTTAAGTAACAGAGAAGGCAGAGGCCTGGGTTAATGTCCTTCCTCGGTTTAAGGGGGTTTCCACCCACAGAGGCCTTGAGGCCTAGCAGTGAGATTGCTGACAGGTGGTCTGTTCACACCAGCCTCACCGGGAATGGGAACATACGGCGTGTTACTTTCTATGCTCATAGGAGACCGGTCTTAAAGGTCTGTTTCACCCGCTCACAGCCAGGCAGCTCCTTTACCCTGGTCACAAGGAGGCATGGTTGGAAGACACTGGTCAGAGAACACTAGAAACCCCTCACAGGTGTGATTCACTGAGTGGGAGTCATTAACTTAGATACCAGAGATGAAAGACTGCACTTTTTTCTTTAAAAAGTGTTGTTCTATAATCCTCACAATACATCAGAGGAGGTAGGTTAGTATGACTAGTCCCATTTCAGGAGGGGATACTGAGGCACAGAAAGGTTAAGAGATTGGCCCCCACCCATACCATGAATCACTATTAAAGCCAGGCTAAAAGAGGGAAGTAACTGAGGGATGAACTTGGTGTCTGATCAATACATCCAGCCTGAAACGTGCCCTCATATTTTTACAGCCCAGATACACTTAAAGCTGCAGGATCCTGTGATCTTCCAGGAGGAACTGCCAAAGAATGCAGTTAGCAAACACAGCCACCCGCTCACTTGCAGAAGAAAAGTCCTGAAACTTCCCAGCATCACCATAGATCTTGAGTGTTTGCCAGTAACGTCTGTTAGATTTTTTAAAAAACCAACTGAGGGCCACAAACCATTAAGAAGTTTCTGTTGCTTCCAGTAAAATGTGGCCAAGGAAAACAAAGTTCACGTGTTTTGCTTTCTAGGAATGGGGGAGTGGGTTGGGGACATCTCCAGAGAGTCAAATTTCGAGACCCAACAGGTTAGCGTCTGTTGGGTGTGGCTCACCCCAGTTTCCCCTACCTGCCCCCTGAAGACCTTTGGAAAAACTGGGCTTGGGTGTCAAGATAAAGGCTGGCAGCCTTGTCATATCCGGGTTTTCTATGGAGTAATGCAGTCAGATCGCCACAGTCCCTCCACAGATCCACCCATGACAAACCGCTAGCATAACCTGGTGGTTCTCAACTTGTGGAGGCCCCAGGAGATGATCTGGCAATGTCTACAGATGCTTTTGGTTGTCACAGCTAATGTGGGGGTTGCTACTGGCAGGTAATGGGTAGAGAGAGACCAGAGACGCTGCTAAACATCCTACAGTGTACAGGACCTACTGCAAAATGTCAGTAGAGGTTGGGAAACCCTGTGTGCCACCCCACAGGCTGTGCAACAGTGTTCTTCAGCATGCATATGTTGAGTCCCCCTAAGGACTGACCCTCCCTCACTACCTCACAGCCAGCAGGTGGTCATGGGACTGGCAGCAGCCTCCCTGATGCTGAGCCACCTGTCTGTAGGTGCTGAAATGCGCCTTCCCAGGGGGACCAAGCCTTTCGCTTGCAATTAGAATTAAGGCTTAAATGCAAATATCCCTGGAAGAAATACACAAAGATCCTGCATTCTGATCCTTTCCTGAGAGTGCTGTGGTGGGGTGGAGCGCAGGAGCGTCAAGAGGGAGAGAAAGGGGGCAAAGAGGAGGGTGGGCCTGCCCCCAGCTCTCTTGGTGAGCTCCACTGGTTCTGCCCAGGCTCAATCCGGAAAGCACCACCCTCCCCAAACTTGGTGGGCCATAGGGCACCTAGGGCACTGTTGCAACTACAAAGTACATATCAGGCTGAAGATGCAGCCTGGAACTATATACAGGTTTATATTTTTAGGTCAGTTGCATTGTGGGTCAGTATTACTGTTGTCCTCTTTAATTGAAATCATGATTTTCCCAAGGAGAACAGAGAGGGGAAAAGCAGCCTTTGGGGAAATACTTCCCCCGCTTTGAATTAGGAGCTGGGATGCTACGTATGCAGTGAGGTGCTAGTGGATATTTTTGAAGAGAGGTTAATTTGAAAAGGAAAGGCATACACTTTGACCAAACTTGCTCACTAGCAAAGAACGACTGCAGAAGCACATCACAGAGGCGGTATTTACAATGCAATGGAACTCGACGTTTTTAAACTACTTTGAATTCCTTTTTCACTGAAACTGCTTGGTAGATTTACACCAACTTACTCCTCAGCCAGCCCAACAAAAGCATCATCTCCATATCATTTATATGTACAAATATGCCACCATGATGTAACATGTTACAGAATTCAATGGTGGATGAGAATTCCATGAGCTGTCTGTCATTTCTATTCTGGCCATGACCTTCCTGGCCATGAAGAATTGATAAGATCCTTCTTCGCTTTTCTGATCCCTCAAAAACACAAGTGTGTGGCACAGACCTGCCCTTCTCTTTGAAGTCAGAACATTGAAGGTGTTTTGTGCTGAAGATGGGAGAGGCGTCTGTGAGGGATCGCTAGATGCTGTCCCTGGCATCAGCCGTATTGCTTTTGGGCTCCTAGAGGAGTCAGAAAAGGGAGATTCCCAGTCCCCAGGCTCGGGGAGGCAGTGGGGAAGAGGGAGTCCTGGCCGCCCCTCTCTGGACTTCAGGGAACTTTCTTCTGAACGAGGCCATCAGAGTTGTGGACGTTTTTCTCCTGCATTTTCCACATCTCTCCTGACCTGGATGCTGCTCCCTGAAAGGGGTTAGTTTCAGGGTAGCCCCAGGCAGCTCGTACTCCAGTGATGAGCAATTCCTGATTCCTCTGCAGAGCAGGGGCCACCTGGTGACCCAGGCTGTGGTGATGCAGGAGGCTGCACAGCCCTCCCAGGGCTCCCCTCTGAGAAGCTGCTCTCCACGGGCAGCCCTGCATAGCCCGCTCTCATTCCGGGGGCAGGGTATGGGCCTGTTTTCTTCAGAAGAGAGCTAGACACTTCCCAAAGCTGATGGCTTTCTCAGCCTCAAGAAAGTGGTGGCTCCTCTTCATCCCCAATCTTTGGGGATCTCCCCTGTGCTCTAAGCCATGGCCACCCAGAGCTATGGCTAAGGATGAAGCTGCAGGAAGATGGGAGACAGAGGCAGCTGTGCGGGTGAGGACACAGGGTACCAGATCTTGTGTGTTACCTCCAAGGGCTCTGGACGGGGCTCTGGGATGGGAGGAGGAGAGCCAGAAACCACTTGGTGGGATGACAAGGAAGAAGCAAGACGTAGACTTCCACGAAGCAGATGGCTCGCTGGCTCCGCAGCAAAGGCTGCAACACAGCACCGGGCAGCTCCTAGAGATGGGGCAGCTGGCCTTGCCAGCCACATCTGCAAAGACAGCGGACCAGGAGCCTCGCAGACCAAGAGCACGAGCTTTGAGGTAGGATTGTCGGTCCTGCTGAAGGGCAAGGGAGGACCTGGGTGGCCCCCGCAGGCGGTTTTGAAAGCAGGCGTGGTGTCTGAACAGGAAGGCAGAACCGAGGACGCACAGTCAGTGCCGGTGTACGGGGTGAGTTTTTATAAAAATCCAGTCCAGCAAATTGACAAGTTACTTCTCAGCCTCAGAAAGAAAATGCTTGACAAAATGTATTCTTTTTAAAAGGAGACAGAAATGTTGCTACCAGGTGGAGCTGGAGGTGGCAGGAGATTGGGAAGGTGAGAGGAGGGAAGAGAGGAAGGGTTCCCTGGGAGCAGGACCCCCGGCAGGCTCCTGGCTCAGAGCCCCTCCCATGAGCTCATTATTCAATGTGGATCTCGAGGGAGAAGGCTGGTGTTTCCAGAGCCCCACCCTGGCAGGTCAGACTTGGCACACCCAGTCTTACAGTGGGAAGCTGGGGGACAAGGTGCCTGATACTGCCCTTCTATTTTCTGCCTTTCCCAGAGGTCCCGCCTACCCCATCAGGGCAGAGCCTCCCTGCCTGCCACAGGGGCCACTTGTGTTCATGATGCTTTCATAATGATGATAGGGTGGACTGACTAGGAGAGGCTTTCCCAGGGTCTTTCATCTTACATGCTTGTGAGTCTCCGAGTGGTTCAGCTCAGAAGAGCAATTTGGATGCGTTTTCAGTTAACTTCTTGAGTTGCCAGTTTCAGAAAGGAGCCACCACCAGGTGAAGACTTATCACATAGTTGTTAAAATTTTCGTGTTTTCATGTGCATTTAAGAACTAAGACTTGGGCTGCGCGCGGTGGCTCACGCCTGTAATCCAAGCACTTTGGATACCAAGGCAGGCGAATCACCTGAGGTTGGGAGTTCAAGACCAGCCTGACCAACATGGTGAAACCCCGTCTAAAAAAAAAAGAACTAAGAATTGAGTGATTTAATGTTAGGAGACTGTCATGCTTGTGTGTGTCCGTGTGTGTGTGTGTGAGAGAGAGAGAGAAGGAGGGAGAAAAAGGGAAAGAGGGAAGAGACAGGGATGCAGGGATGAAGGAAAGAAAGAGAAAGGAGAAAAGGAAGAAAGAGCGAGGGAGGGAGGGAAGGAGAGAGAGGATTAGAGAGAGAGAAGGAGGGAGGAAAAAGAAAAGACACAGGGAGTAGGGAGAGAAAGAGAAAGAATGCAATTGGCTGATTAATAAAGGAAGCGATTTTTAAAGGTTCTCAGCACTTCAGTGAGAGAGGCAAAAGTCAGGCATGAATGATCAATGTCCCCTTCTATCAATCCTGCATTGGATCTGCAAGTGGCAGGTGCTACTAAAGACTCCAGGACCAAGAAGTAGGGGAGAACTTTCTCAGCATGACAAGAATCTGCAACCCCGGGACTCTGAGGAGGCCGGGTCCCAGCAGAGGGCCAACACCCGGGGTGTGGGATGACCGCGTAGCTGCTGATTGCTGCTTTCAGGAGGCCAGTCTCAAAGTCTCCCTTCCTCTCCCTCCAAAATAAAGCAAGTTTTGAAGACAGATGGCAGGAAACTTAGACATGAAGCCCAAATGCTGACTCCCTTGAGAAAGGTCCTTCTTGAAGAGTGATGTCTGGGTGAATAAGGGTGGCACATGTACCTGCCTTTACCACCAACTGTGGCGGCCGGGGGCACAGCCTGCGGACCCATTCCCCATGCCCCCAAGAAAATGTGTCTCTACGACATTCCATGCTGCCAGGTTGCACCCATGACTTGCGTATCCTGCTTTTGTGGGTTATTTGAGCCTAGTGAGAATGTTGGGTGTTTTGCCTGTGAATGCCACCGTCACAGGCATGGTGCCGAGCTGGAATGGGGCTAATTGCCTGACAGCTTTGGCTGCCCCAGGTTAGTGGGCACTTCCAATCCTGTGTGCAGGGTGACCTGGAAAAGAAGACAGGGGAAGTGAGGCGGGGAGAGGCTGCCGTGGGGACCCTGAGTGCTGTGAGGGCACAGCAGACACCGGCAGGATCTCCTGCTGGCTCCATCCATCCCAGGCTACAGCTCAGGGCAGCTGTAGACAGTTAAATATTACATCATTCAATATCCCCAATTAAAGGCAATGTTGGTTTGCACCTCTTTTCTCATAAGAAGCACTCAGCTGCCTGGTTCCTCATTTTGCCAGAGCTGCTGGAGCCAGGCAAAGTAGATGCTATCACAGCAGCATGGCTCTCACGCACTGGCTCCTGTGGTCTCATATTTGTGTCTACTTTCTAGTCAAGACCTTCTTTCCTTTCCTATTAACCCCATTCTATTAACTGTGAGGAATAATAGCCAACCTTTTATTTATTTATTTATTTGTTTATATTTTTTTGATATGGAGTCCTGCTCTGTCACCCAGGCTGGAGTGCAATGGCAGGATCTCAGCTCACTGCAACCTCCGCCTCCTGGGTTCAAGAAATTCTCTGCCTCAGCCTCCCAAGTAGTTGGGATTATAGGGACCCACCACCATGCCCAGCTAATTTTTATATTTTTAGTAGAGACGGGGTTTCACCATCTTGGCCAGGCTGGTCTTGAACTCCTGACCTCATGATCCACCCACCTTGGCCTCCCAAAGCTCTGGGATTACAGGCGTGAGCCACTGTGCCTGGCCTATTATTTTAATTAAAAATAAAACTTATTTGTTAATTGGTAGAGATGGTGTCTTGCTAGTTCCCCAGGCTGGTCTTAAACTTCTGGGCTCAAGTGATCCTTTTGCCATGGCCTTCCAAAGTGCTGGAATTACAGGTGTGAGCCAACATGCCCTGCCAAGCCCATCTTTTAGGTTGCCAGAAATCCCTTTTCTAAATGAGTAGAGGATTGAATTGATCAATCAATGATTGATATAGACTCCTCAATATTCAGGACCACAAAACAGGACCCTGCCTCACTCCACTCCAACTCCCCATCCCAAGAAGAGGAGGACTCTGCTAAGATGAAGTATGGCACCTCCGTGTTTCTCTGTCCCTCACACCCTCCTGAGCTCTCATTCTTGTCTCTGTTTCAGGCCTCCTGAGCCACCAGCACTCCCCAAGGATGACTCAGCCCTGAGATCTGCTTCTCCAGAAGCTGCCACCCTAGGGCTCCTGGGTGTCCCAAGTGAACAAGTTAGAGGACCGCCTCCAGGAAATGTTCAGCTGATAAGCTCTGTCTGAGCAGACACTGTGGTTAGCTTTTACTTTATTTTGCTTTGTTTTTTGAGATGGAGTCTTGCTCTGTCACCCAGGCTGGAGTGCAGTGGGGCAATCTCAGCTCCCTGCAACCTCTGCCTGCCAGGTTCAAGTGATTCTCCTGCCTCAGCCTCCCCAGTAATTGGGATTGTAGGCAGGCACCACCATGCCCAGATAATTTTTGTATTTTTAGTAGAGAAGGTGTTTCACCATGTTGGCCAGGATGGTCTCTATCTCCTGACCTTGTGATCCGCCCACCTCAGCCTCCCAATGTGTTGGGATCACAGGTGTGAGTCACCGCGCCTGGCCTGTGGTCAGCTTTTTAATGGCTCACTCTGACCAAGGCCACTGCAGAGACCTGTGGCAAACGGTGGGGAGCAGCCAGGCCAGGTCCGGCCTGGGGGACGTGTGTACCTGCACATTGCGGTTGAGGCTGAGGGCTGGCATGAAGACCCCGTCCACCTGGCTGAAGGCTGTGGGGCCCTGCTGCTGCCCGTTGATGAAGAAGGTCAGGGTGTGCTTATTCAGGTCCAGCAGCACGCCGACGGTGGCCCCTTTGCATACGCCGCCTTCCGTCCTGGGAAGAGAGTCCCCAGGAAGACCATCACCACACCCAGCCTGAGATGTAGGTGATAACTCAGAGGCACTGTCTCACTCTGTCGCCCAAGCTGGAGTGCAGTGACGCTATCTCAGTGCACAATAGCCTCGACCTCCCAGGCTCAAGAGAGCCTCCCACCTCAGCCTCCTGAGTAGCTGGGATTACAGGTGCATGACATAATACACAGCTAATTTGTTGTATTTTTTGTAGAGATGGAGGTCTCACTATGTTGCCCAGCCTAGTCTTGAATACCTATGCTAAGTGATCTTCCCACTCTGGGCTCCCAAAGTGCTGGGATTACAGGCATGAGCCATTGTGCCTGTCCAGGAAAATTACTTATAGGATACTGGGAATACCCTCACTTAAACATAGTCCCCAAGGTGGTGGTGGGGTGCCATCCTGGGCACAAGAGCCTTCTCTTGCATTGTGGACCCACCTTGTTAAAAGGCCATGATGAAGACTTTCCCCTAGAGGAACCAGGCTGCTCAGTCCCCTTTTTCTGACAGCATCTGGGACCTGCACACTAGAACATTCAGGTTTTGATGAGAGGGTCCCATTTGCAGCTGTGGGGCATGGAGAATGGGTAAGAAAGGCACCATTTCCTGCCAAAGAAAATAACTAACCTGGTGCCCTTTCCTGCTCTAGCCCAGTGAGGATGCTGAGGTCGATGAAGATGTGGACGTCTAGGCCTTCAGGAAATTTTGAAAGGTCCCTACCCTACATTGGCTCATCTTCCCAGAAACATCCCAGGGTCCCTTGAAAAGTGGCAGATGGCAGGGGAAAGGGTGCTGAAGTGAAAATCAAGTCCTCTGTCAGAGTCACCATCCCACAGGTGACCAACAGCAGAACCTTGAGAATGTCCACTGTGCTCTTGAGCAGTGTTGGGGATGTAGTACTTCGTAGGTGGCAAGAATTCACATCTACTTGGTGGAAAGGAATCTATTAATAAAAGTAAGGAACACGTTCCCAAGGGGGGCTTGGCTGACCAGGCCTTCTCGCATGGGCCGAATCCTGCAGACTCTCCTTCTCTGAGGTGGCTTTTTTTTTTTTTTTTTTGAGACAAAGTCTCACTCTATCACCCAGGTTGGACTGCAGTAGCACGATCTCAGCTCACTGCAACCTCTGCCTCCCAGGTTCAAGCAATTCTCCTGCCTCAGCCTCCCGAATAGCTGGGATAACAGGCGCCTGCCACCACACCCGGCTAATTTTTGTATTTTGAGTAGAGATGAGGTTTCACCATGTTGGCAAGGCTGGTCTCAGACTCCTCAGGTGATCCACTTACCTTGGCCTCCCAAAGTGCTGAGATTACAGGTGTGAGCCACTGCGCCCAGCTTGTTTTTTTGTTTGTTGGTTTTTGAGCAGAGGTTTCTCCCTGTGGCCCAGGCTGGAGTGCAGTGGTGCAATCATAGCTCACTGTTGCCTGTATCTCCTGGGCTCCTTGAATCCTCCCACCTCAGCCTCCCAAATAGCTGAGACTAGAGGCACACACCATGCCTGGCTAATTTTAAATATTTTATAGAGATGAGGATCTCACTATGTTGCCCAGGACTCCTGGGCTCAAGGGATACCTCTGCCTCAGCCTCCTGAGTAGCTGAGACACAGGCTTGAGCCACCCCGCCCTCTCAGGGCTGAGGGCTTAGCCTTAGCATCTCCACTCTGCTAAGAAAACCATGTTTGTCCTTCCAGATTGGGAATGAGTTGATCAACTGGATGCTGCTGATAGGGCAGAGGGAAGGTGAGCAGTGAGAAGAATTCATGACAGGAAGTCCCGAGGAGGACTTGGTGGGCGGCCCAGAGGGTGTTTCTGGGAGAGAGCAGGGCTTTTCCCCAAGGGTGCCCAGGGCAGCATCTGGCAGGTGGGAGACGGGAACCAGAACCATGCTGTTGGTGCTCTTTGGACACTGACCACCAGGTGGTGGTAGTGACCCATGGGAGGTACGGGAATGAGTGTGACCTAAGCAAAGCCTCAGGCCCAGTCAGCTCTGGGGTCCAGCTTCTCGGCTGCCTCGATTTCCTCCCCGACAGAGCTTACCCTACCCGACCCACATCCAAGGGGTGGGAGGACATGAAGACAGGGGAAGATTCTCTCTATCTTCTCCTGGCCCCACTTCCCTTCTGCTTTTCTTACTGAGGTGGCACCAATGGGCTGTCAAGGAAAGCAGAGGCCCGAGAAGGGCTCAGCAGCCCTTGGGAGGGGTGTGGTGGCCAATGGCCAGGAGAGCTGGGGAGTCTGCACCACACAGGCCAGGCTGGGGCCTTGGTTCAAACTTGACAGTATCAATTGGCCGCGTGATGTGAGCCATTGTCTGACCTCTGAAAGCCCAGGCTTACATTTTTTTTTTTTTTTGGGTAGAGAGGAGGGGCTCACTATGTTGCCCAGGCTGGTCTTGAGCTCCTGGACTCAAGTGATCCTCCTGCCTCGGCCTCCCAAGTAGCTGGGACTACAGGTACACAGCAACATGCCTGGCTAATTTTAAAGATTATTCTTATTTATAGAGACAGGGTGTCACTAAGTTGCCCATGCTGGTCTCGAATTCCTGGGCTCAAGCAATCCTTCGGCCCCGGCCTCCTGAAGTGCTGGAATTACAAGTGCGAGCCACCATGCCCAGCCTAAGTTCCAGTTTTATAATCTGTAAAATGGCAGCAATAATAGTACTTTTGCAAGGATTAAATGAAATCTGATGTCAGATACATCTAGTGCTTCCTACAGCATTGAGCACAAGTAAGGGCTTGATAAATGTTGTTGTTGTTACTCCCAACAGCAAACAGGGTATCTGGGTGCCAGCTTGGCTTGAGCAAGCAGAGACGGAGCCGATGGGCCTGGGCTTGGCCCCTCTGTGGCTGGGAGGGAGAATGGCCAGCCTGCAGTGTCTGGGCAGAGGGACAGAGCTGCCCACCTCTCCCCCAGGACTCAGGAGAGAAGGGACTGTGTCTACCAGCAAAGAAGCAGGCAGATGGGGTCCTGAGGGCCCTTGGACAAGTCCCTGGCCCAGACCAGACCTGGCTTTCCTGAGAAAGAAGAAGCTGGTCCTTCCTCTGCGGGAAGGTTCCCCATGGGCTGTTATAGGAACTGCAAGTAAGCCCAGAGCACAGAAAGCCTTCGAGGTCAACTTTGCCTGGGCTGTGGCCGGGGCCAGCGAAGTCAGGGTGGGCTCCTTGAAGTTCTTCACCCCTTCCTATGGGGGACATGGCCCTTAGCAGACCGGGAGCAAGGCCCCATAGCAAGGAGGTGGCTCCATGTGGCCATAACTTTCAACCCTCCATTTCTGGCCTTGGGGATTCTTCACCCCCACCTCCATCCTCACATGCCGGCCAGGTGTGAGCACCTGTCCCAGAATCCCCGGGAGAGGAGAAAGAGTACTGAGTGTCAGGGGTCCACTGCCTTCTCTGTGACTGAGGAGAGAGACCAAGGCACCTTGGAGAGGCCCAGGCCTTGGGGGCATTTTTCCAGGGCAGCCCAGAGGATGCATCCCTGCTTACCCTCCTAATGGAGGCCCCAGTAGTGACACAGGCCAGGACCTGAGTCTCCTGTGTCCACGCTGGTGACCCTATTCCCAGGGCCAGCCTCAGGGCAAAGCCACAGCTACAGGCTCCCTTGGCAGACTCATGAGTAGTGAGCACCCCAGCCATGCCCTCCACTACTGCCCTGTAGAGGGCCTGGCCCTGCCGAGGTTCAAGCTCATGTGAGACCAGGGCAGTGGCCAGGATCACTGCAGGTAAGTTGGTGGCAATGACTTGGTCACAGCTGTGAGGACACCAGCCCCAGTGGTGCCCATTGATGCCCTGCAGTGACTCAAGCTTGGGTTGATGGTTGCAAAGGAAAGTGAAGCCCGACCAGAAAGAAAACTACGAGTTCCATATCCCAGCAGAGGACCACTGTGTGGCCTGCTGGGTAACTCGGGAGACTCATCTGTGCTGGTCCTCTGTGAGTCACCATAACATAACCTCATCTGGGCTGCAGGCCAGTTCTACATGGACAGAGCCAAAGTCTCCCAAAGAATGGAGGCCCAAGTGGCTGAAAATACCTCCTCCCAATTCCTGCTGGCTTTGGGGACAGCAGAAGGGACACTGGTCTTCAGGACCCTCATTCCCAAACAGCCCGTGTCGGCGGAAGGCAGGATGGGGCCCAGCGCACCTGTTGGTGTGGGAGTTGCAGTGCATGAACCAGCTGCGATTGTTGTCCACGTACATGGCCCAGGCCTTGTCGTCCTTGCCCAGCATCATGTCCTTGACCACGCTGGCCCTGGCCACCCCGAAGGCGGGGTCTGGGTGGTTGTCGTACCGGTCCACGTGCAGCTCCCAGTAGTGTACGCCCTTGGAGAATGCGGCCGTGCCGAGCACCACCCGGTCATCATAGCTGCTGCAGGTGGCCGTCTGGTTGTCATTGGATAAAATGATGTCCCGATGCCCAGAGTTGGGGTCAAATGTGAACCAGGCCACTGAAAAGGAAAGAGGCGAGAGGAGCAGGGTCAAGGGATGGAATTTCCTAGTAATTTCTAACCGGATCATAGACACAAACACACTCGCTTCTGTTACAAAGTGGGCACCCAGCAGTGAAGGGTCTTTCCTGTATGATTAGCTTACACATGTGAGCACACACACACGTGCACACACACATGTACACACATGCACATGTGCATGCACATGCTCACACACTCCCTGCTCTGTGTTCATCTAAGTTGCCAGCCCTATGAACCCAGCCTTGCCAGGGATTTTCAGACCTCAAAGACCCAAATCTAGATGCATTTTCTGGTCTTGGTTTCTAAAACACTTCCAAACACTCACACACAGTTAGAAGTACAGGAGAGATAGGCCAGGCATGGTGGCTCACACCTGTAATCCCCGCACTTTGGGAGGCCAAGGTAGGTAGCTCACCTGAGGTCAGAAGTTTGAGACCAGCCTGGCCAACATGGTGAAACCCCGTCTCTACTAAAAATACAAAAATTAGCTGGGTGTGGTGGCACACACCTGTAGTCCCAGCTACTCAGGAGGCTGAGGCAGGAGAATTGCTTGAACCAGGAAGTGGAGGTTGCAGTGAGCTTAGATCATGCCATTGCCCTCCAGCCTGGGCGACAGAGGAGGACTCCATCTCAAAAATAAAAATTAAAAAGTACAGGAGGAAACAGATATTGCTGGGCCACCTCGTGGGTGGGAGATTTGAGACACAGAGAGGTGAGGTAATGTGGCCAAAGTCCCAAAGCTCAATTCTCCATTTTGCAGCCCACCAGGTGCTGCCTCCTTTTGCTCCCCAGTCCCCCAGCACCACCCCCAGGTTGTCGGAAGTGAGGCGCTTACTCTAAAATCATGACCACAATACACAGGGCAAGGGAATACACCGCTCGTCTCTAGGGAGGAGAGTCTCGAGGCGGAAGCCAGCTCACTCTCCTCTAGGTACAAAGTGACTCTGCAGGTCGCATCATTTTCAGAAAAGTGTCCCTGGCTGTGCCCTTTGACTCCAGCATCTGCTCCTGCTCCTTCTCCTCCCTGCCTCTGGGAGACCATCCAGCTGTAGCATCAGAGGATGTGTGGACTAAATGATGACAACGGAGGTGGGACTTGCTTTCTTCTTTGAGGCAGTGGGGAGCTGGAAGCTGCCTCTGCAGCCTGGGCTGGGCCACACCCAGAGGAGCAGGACTCTATTTGGAATGTGCTTTCTGTTTCCCTCATCACTTCCTGCTAAGAACTCAGATGACTGAAATTCCACTGAATCATTATCAACATGCTGTTGTTGTCCAAGACCTAAAAGGCCGCAGGTAGGTATATAAACCACTGGGGACTAAAGGGCACTTTTCTGCTGTGAGAAAGGCTCAGATGCAGGAGCTGGTGTGGACCCGCCGCATCTGCATCTATCGTGGAGTTTTCTTGTCTGAGCCTGTCCTACTCACTCCTCGGCCCTTGAGAAGTGGGGGATTTTAGCCTCCCTCAGCTACTCCCTAGTTAGTCCAGCCCAATGGGGTGAAGGAATGTTTCTTTCGTGGCTTGTAGGCAGGTGGGTACATCAAGGAGCTGTGTGTGCAGAGTAGGGTCAGTCATATGCACTCATCTGGACCCTCTGGCCCTACACTTACCCCCAGCCCCATCTTCAGCAGCTGATCCTTCCCCACCCCCACCTTTGTCCATGGGATGAAATGTGGGTTGGCCCTAGGAGATGATCTTCTTCTGGGAGGCCACTTATGGTCCCAGAAGGGCATGCCCTTGGAGAACCCAGCTGTGCCTAGCACCACCACCCCCACCCCATCATCATAGCTGCTGCACATGGCTGTCTGGTTGCCATTCGATAAATGATGACTCTGTTCTTCCCTCTAAGAGACTCCGTGCTCACCATCGGATGTCTGCAGGACGACGGTTTTACTGTAAGGCCCGACACCGGAAGAGTTGAAAGCTTTCACTCGGGCATTGTAGGTGCTGTTGAAGTGAAGACCGTCGATGGTACACAAAGTCTCCTTACCAACGTACACTTCCTGAAAGAGAGCAGTGCTGCTCACCAGGCTCCTCTAGCATTTGCAAAATTCCTCTTAGCAAATGGCTTCTGGAAACACATTGACATTAGAAGTGCTGCTGCCAGCCGTGGTGGCCTGTAATCCCAGCTATTCAGGAGGATGGGGGAGAGGATCGCTGGAGTCCAGCCTGGGCAACACAATAGGACCCCATTTCTAAACAATTTTTACTTTTTTTTTTTGAGGGGTGGAGTATTGCTCTGTTGCCCAGGCTAGAGTGCAGTGGTGTGATCTCAGCTCATTGCAGCCTCCACCTCCCAGGTTCAAGTGATTCTCCTGCCTCAGCTTCCCAAGCTGGGACTACAAGTGAGTGCCACCAGGCCTGGCTAATTTTTGTATTTTTTAGTAGAGATGGGGTTTCATTATATGTTGGCTAGGCTGGTCTCAAACTCCTGACCTCAGGTGATCCTCCTGCTTCAGCCTCCCAAAGTGCTGGGATTATAGGCATGAGCCACTGTGCCCAGCCAATAATTAAAAAAAAATTTTTTTTGCCTAAATAAAAGTTATGAAAAAGGAAAATTACATTTAGTCATGGCCAGGCGGGGTGGCTCACACCTGTAATCCCAGCACTTTGGGAAGCCGCGGTGGGCAGATCATGAGGTCAGGAGTTCAAAATCAGCCTGGCCAACATGATGAAACCCCATCTCTACTAAAAATGCCAAAAAAAAAAAAAAGAAAAGAAAAATAATTAGCCAGGTGTGGTGGCGTGGTGGCACATGCCTGTAATCACAGCTACTTAGGAGGTTGAGGCAGGAGAATTGCTTGAATCCAGGGTTAGGGTTAGGGTTAGGTTAGGGTTAGTGAGCCGAGATCAAGCCACTGTACTTCAGCCCGGGTGACAGAGCGAGACTCTGTCTCAAAAATAAATAATTAATTAAATAAAAATAAAAAGACCCTCTTCCTCATAAACCCTAGCCCTTGGGTCTAGCTTTTGTTAGCAGCCATGTCTCAAAGAGGAGGGGCCATTTTTGAGCTCAGTGGCTGCTGCTTTTAATATTTTTAGTCTTTTCTTTCTTCCCATTTAAAAAATGCTAGCTCTCCTCTGGTTTCTGGTGGAGGAGCTCTTTCAGTTCTTGGCTCATTTGCATAAAGGGAGTGACAGGGGTCTGCACTCAGTGATCTGGCTTGAGCAACCTCATCTTACCTCCCTAAATGGCCCATATTCACATGGGACTCAGCAATTCCCAAGGAAGTGTTGTCATTATTTCCTGAATTCTTACATTCCTCTATTTTTCAAGCAGGAAGTAAAATGACGCATACATACATCTCTTTGAGAGAAACTAAGGGAATGTTGACTTTCAGCAAGGTTTGTTAAGTGAGCGCAACTTCCCAGGAGAAGAAATGCAGGGGTGGCTATGATTGCAGTGGTTTGTTAGAGTGCGTGTTTATTTCATCTTCTCTGGGCCGGGAAGCAGGTGATCGGAGAAGACCTAGAATTGGTGCTCCCTGGCATTCACATCTGCCTGAACTTCACTGAGTGAAATCTGGAGGTGGTGTTCTATCAGGGGTCTGGGTTGGGGTGGAGTCCTGCTCCAGGGATTCTAGCAGATGGGGAGTAGAAGATGCATTTCTGGCTCACTAAGAACCCTTATTGCCCCCATGACAGTCCATCATCAGGGATGTGAATAGGTAGAAATGTCATACCTATTCAACAGCCATTTATCAAGCATCCTCTATATGCCCAGCATCTTGCCAGGTATATGAGGGCCAGACAGTGCTTCCTTGGCTCCAGACATGATACCTCCCAAGACAAGACAGAGCCAGGTGAAATAATTAGAGGACCAGAAAAGACAAGGTGTGATAAAACCTGTTGAGGGAATGTGTTGCTGTGTGAGGAGCTGGTGGTAAACGGGGAAGGAGGTAGATGCAGAGAACACCTTCTTGGAGCTTTCCCAGCCCCACACCTATGACAGTCCTCCCAGACCTAGCCCTTGGGAGGGAAGTCCCATCTCTGTGAGCCCAGGCTGGCCAGCCCTCTTTATCCTTTCTGCCAATGTCGCCTCAGGATAGCAACATCATATCCCTGTGGGGTTGACCAGAGTTTGGGACCATGGGAGCCACTCCTGCCTCTGCACTGGTACTCCCCAAGCCCCCACCAAACAAACAGCAAGGCCTCACCCGGAACTGACCCCCCGCGCCATCATCCAGTTCCAGGATGTAGCCGTCCACGGGGCTGTGGGTGAAGGGCGGCATCCTCCAAGCCAGCGTGACACTGTTGTTTCGGGTGCAGCATTTCTCCAGCTGCAGTAAGGGGACAGGTGGCACTGAGAGAGGGACATGTATGAGTTAGTGCACAACGGCCTCTGAGGCCCCTGGCCCAGTTCCCCCACCCCACCCCATCCCAGGGCTCCTGGCCCCCAAAGATAACCAGGCTCAATTCCTTCCCTCGCTACCCTGTAGTCACTCCCAGACTCCCTGGAGTCCATCTCCAGGTAGGCTGGGGATGAGGCTAAGCACAGGTGACCTTGCATGTCTCAACCCAAGGGGGTGTCCTTCCTGGCATCTCAGGGGCCCTGGGAGATGACCCCAGCCCTCTGAGCCTATGGCCCTAAGGAAGGATGTTCTCTTTCCCATCTGCCCACTGAGAACCGCTGGCTTTAACTCAGACCCATGAGGAATGCATGGACAGTTCTCTGTCCCAAGAGCAAGAGTCCAGGCTTCCTGTGTACGGCACAAGCCCCTCAGGGTCCTCAATGTAGGGCCTACAGCTAAGTGACAGCCAGCCTGCAGCTCATGCCTGGAGCTGGGAAGTTGAGGGGAGATGCCTTAAAACCTTTGGCTGGAAGCATTGAAAAGGTCAGAGGATGAGATGCAGGCAACAGAAGCAATTCTCCAGTATGGGGCAACCAACCTAAAGAACTAAGGATTTGGATCAGCTGTATCAGAGTCCTGTTGAGGTGAAAGTGGGAGAAGTTAAACATTTTCTAGCTTGATTCAGGCTCGGGAGATTTTAGAAATTGATACAGTCCACTCTGACTCCCCACTTTTTTAAGGGAAAATTGAAACACTGGTTTTGTTAAAAGTACATATTTCAGTTTGGTTCCAAGGATTCGGGCATGGGACTGGCTGAGCACAGCCTGACTCCCAGCCTTCAGTTAACAAGATGGTAGGAGTCCTTCCTCCATCTCCTGGGTCCCGCTACTCTGCTCTCCCACTTCTGCTCTGAACCCTGACCAGCCAGTGACCATACAGTCCAGTTACCCCTGACCAGTCCCTTGACCCCATCCAGCTGGAAGCAGCATCTGGAGAGGCCCTAATCCACCCCCTGCACCCACTTTCCAAGGTGACCTCTCTCTTCCACTCTGCCAGGCTCCTCCTGCTTCTCGGCACTGCATGTCATTTACACCTGGGGCAGGTGGACTTTCCAGACCTTACTGGAGGAGCAAGATGTGTGGGAGTGAGCATGGCCACGTGCAGGAGACTTCCCTTTCTTTAGTTTAAAAATGGCCACAGATTCTGCATGTAAGGACTCCCTGAGTTCACAGATTCTGCAAGTGTGGCCCTCAGTCCCACAAACCAAAGAGATTTATTTCCCCTCCCTGGCATCTGTGGAGGGGCAGCAGGTGGAGTAGGGCTCTGGCTCTGGCCAGCATTTACTGATTTCATCATGGGGCAGGTTATGCAAACTTTACTTAACCACCTCTGAACCCACCTTGCTCACTCTGCTCTCACTTCTGACCTTCTTGCTCTTGGGACAGAGAAAACTGATTCTTGCCTCAGGGACTTTGCGCTGGCTATCCCTCTGCTGCCTGCAAAGCTCTTCATCTAGGTCCTTCTCCCTCCTCCTCCTCCACTACCTCCTCCACCTCCTCCTCCTCCTCCTTCTCCACCTCCTCCTCCTCCACCTCCCCCTCCTCCTTCACTCCCTTCTCCTCCTCCTCCACTCCCTCTTTCTCCTCCTCCTCCTCAACTACCTCTTCCACCACCCCTCCTCCTCTGCCACGGCCTCCTTCTCCTCCACGTCCTCCTCGTCCTCCCCTGCCTCCTTCTCCTCTACTCCCTCTTCCTCTTCCACTACCTCTTCCTCCTGCTCCCCCTCCTCATCCACCACTACCTCTTCCACCTCCTCCTCCTCTGCCACCACCTCCTTCTCCTCACATTAGATCTCACCCCACGGCATGTACGGCTGACCCTTCCTCTGATTCCTCTTCATAGCACCTGCCACCATCAAACATTCTATTATACATTTGTTTAGTGTCTATTTCCTCCTCTAGAGTGTAAGCCCAATCTTGTGAGTTGGTAGACTTTTTCACCACTGTATCCTGAGCACGTGGAACAGTGCCTGGCCCAGGGGAGACACTCCCCGAGCACTTCTGAATGAATAAATGATTGTCTCTTCACAAATGGGAAGTCTCCGATTCTGGCTGGGCACTTCTCACCCCAGCTAACATGGCTGCCAGGGGCTGAGCTGGGACTGGAACCTAGGTCTGTGACTCTCTCCCACCCTGCCACACTCCATGCATCGCAGGTCTTCCTATAGCACCCAGCTGCCCTCTCAGACTGCATGCCTCTTTTGAAAGACGCACTGACTGAACTGGGGCCAACCACGGCTCACCCCTACATTTCATCTGAATGAAGTCCAGCTGGTGGATGGCCTGCAGTAGCGGCTCGCTGTCCAAGGTCAGATCAAACTCCGCAGACACTTTCGGCTCCAGGGCGCCTTTGACCCACTGTTCCTGAGACACCTGGACACGCTTGATCAGAGCATCTGAGATCTTAAAGGGGAGCAAAGAGTTTAAGGTTTTGCTTTGCAGAGGAAACACTGTGCAGGCAGTGGTGAGGAAGAGGTAGGGGCTTTGTCTCTATGGGGCTCAGAGACAGAAAAGGGCTGTGTTCTGAAGTCATGGCAGAGATTAAATGACCCCTGCCTATCCAGCACAGCCTGCATAAACATGCACTGAAATGTTGTTTTAATCATATTTCATAATCACTTGAAATGAAAAGAAGCGCTTGCTACTTAAAGAGATTGTAGCGAACACTACTGAGAAATACAAGATGCGTTTAAAATATGCAAATGCATCCTTCATTAGATCTGTTTCCTAGATCTAGTACTTTGTGGAGTAAAACATACTAGCAGTTTGCCCCAGTGTCTAAAGAAACCATATTCCATACCCCTAAAGTTTTGAAGCCCACATCTGCCCCCTGCCTGTGTCTCCTCTGAGCTGTTCTGCAACTTCTGCTCCAAACTTGACTGTATCACACCCACGGTCCTGCTCTCCTTTGCTGGAAGGTCCTGCTTATCAGACCTTGGCACGTGTCCCTGTGCAGCCAGGATCTCATGTATCTTTCTTGGAAAATAATCAAAGGGATTCATCATTTTCCTCACAGGCGGAGGCTGAATCACTGCTAGTTTCCTGAGAGATACTCATGACCCTGAGTCAGCCTGAATGCAGGAGAGATGGCCCTGAGAAGATTGCACTGTCTCTGAGGGCAGCTGGTCACTGGCCAGGTCTGCAGCACTCGGCACATTGAGATAATGGCCATGTGGATTCTGCTAACTTTTCTTCCGGGCAATCTGTCCAGCTTGTTTGTCAAGACTGTTCTTTCCCATTTGTGCGGAAAATGTTGCAGCGAGGCATTTCAGCCCTAGATATGATGTCATTTCACCTCCTCATTTCCTGCATGCTGCAAAATTAGGTCACATCTAGTGAGAGTCAGAGCCAGGGTGAGAGTCTAGGTCTTCAGGAATCACTGAGCAAAGGAGAATCTACTCAACTTCAAGCCATGAAAGAGTCTTGCCTAGAACTTGGGCTGATTTGGGGAATGGCGGGGCAGTTGAAGGAGGCCCACCCGGTGTCTTCCAGGTGGGGGGCTCACCTGTAAGAACCCAGAGGGGTCATTCTCCTTGATCACCTCCAGGCAGTACTCCATGAGTCCAGTGGACTGGCGCAGCTTCAATGTGCAGTGATTGATCTGGTCCCAAACCATCTGCAATGGAAAGACTCCTCTAAGTAACCATCTCACGAGAGGAAGAGCAGGCAGGCCACTGCAGGAGTCAGACAACTAGCGCCAATACAGCCTGGAAGAGGCGGTGCTGCCTGGACCACCTCATACCTGCTCCTCTCTTGGCTCTGCTGCTGAGCTCCATGTGCCCTCTTTGCTGGGAGGTAAGTGGACTCACTTCCCAACAAGCAGGGCTACAACACCCAACACAGAAACCTTTCTAAACTTGGCCGGGCGCGGTGGCTCACGCCTATAATCCCAGCACTTTGGGAGGCCAAGGCGGGTGGATCACAAGGTCATGAGATCGAGACCATCCTGGTCAAAATGTGAAACCCCGTCTCTACTACAGATACAAAAAATTGGCTGGGCATGAGTCGGGGGAAGCAGAGAGTTAGAGCTGTAATCCCAGCTACTCGGGAGGGTGAGGCAGGAGAATTGCTTGAACCCAGAAGGCAGAGGTTGCGGTGAGCCGAGATAGTGCCATTGCACTCCAGCCTGGGTAACAAGAGCGAAACTCCGTCTCAAAAAAAAGAAATCTTTCTAAACTCATGACAGTCATGTAGAGAAAACATAATCTGAAACTCTTTATACAATCAGTGACCAGCTTCTTGCCTGGCTTCTGACCTCTCAGTGTCCCTAGATGATGCCCCTTCACTTACTAACCATGGGATCATCCCCAGCACACATTCCTCCTTTTCTTGACAGTGATATTTTGTGGTCCAGTTAGGAAGCGTCTCTTGCATAGATGGAGGTCCTTGGACAGTGACAGCCCCTCATCAACTCAGAGAGTTCATGGGCACCTGGCTGAGGTGGGGACTCAGAACGATGTGAAGGGGAGAGCCCCATCTTCCCTTTGTGGGAACTGGCTGTGTATGTTATTGCTGACTATTGAGTAGGTGAGATATCAGAGAGAACCTGAAGATTGAAACAGAGCTGGAGAACTGAACAGGGTCAGGGCAAGTCACTGTCATCAGTCACTTCTGCTCTGCAAAATGAGAACAAGAATAGTCCCTTAGATAGAAACAGGGAGGGAGAGGGTGGGCTTCTGACTCGAAACTTGCAAGATATACAGGGCATATAGATTGGTCTCTGTCAGGTCACAGGAAGGTAACTGAATCAGCTGATGCATCCCTTCCTTGCCTCATTCATTCGTTCATTCATTCACTCACTCACTTAGCTGATATTTACCCAGTGCCTACTGTGTGCTCCACCCCACACTGGGTGCAGAGAATGTGGTGGGGATTCAATGTGTCAGTCCCCCAGGTACCTACCTTCAGCTTGTGCTCCCTCTCTTTAGTCACCTTGGTGAGCAGCTTGGCTTTCTGACGAGTTAAAGCATCCACAAGGGCGTCACACTGAGCAACCAGGCAGGCTTCGTAGTCCAGTCCGTTTTCCTGGCAGGGGTCAGGGGGTGAGTGGGGGGAAGCAGAGAGTTAGAGGGGAGAAGACACTAAAATCTGGTGAGTGCTATGGACAAAGATATATTTCAGAGTAGTTCATCCTAGAGTTCTCTATAAGGTTGGTAAATTAGAGGCAATATTTATATGAATTAAGGCAGGTACTATGAATCTCAGCACATCCATATGGCAGAATATTCTGTAGTCATTCAAATCTTGTTCACAGGACGTTTTTAATGCCATGGGAAAATGCTCATGACAGACTGTTAAGAAGGAAAAAAGGCAAGATACACATTGTTCACAGCATAATCACATACGCTATGTGTGTGTGTGTGTGTTTAAAGCAATAGAACAATACATATCAAAGCAGTGTGAGTGGTCACCTCAGATGGGGAGATATTGGTGACCTTTTTCTTAGTTTCCTCCAAAGTTTCTGTAACACGTACTTGTGCTTTTTATAATTGGAACAAAGTAAGACAAACAAAAAAATAGTGCTCTTGCCGTCAAGTCTGTCTTTCTCAGCTGTGGGCCAAGATGGCCAGGAGCAGACCTGTGTTATTTCTAGTTAAATGATTACAAGCTTGCTCTGCTTTTTAGACACTGAGATTTGTGCCACACATCAAATGATAAGAAAACTCCAAACAATGGTACAGTAAAGTAAAAATTGTTTAAGGCCTGTAAAAGCAGAAATCAAGCAGTAACAGGCCTGAAGACCACCTGGGAGCGCTTTAAAACCACAGAATGCAGCAGTGTGGCTGCAAGGCAGGAAAGCTGCTTTGGTCCCACGACCTCGTCCCAACATAGGGTCTGCGTGAGGGTCTCGTAAAGAGGGCTCGTGCAAGAACTCTGGCAAGGAACGCGACCTCTGCTCACAAGACTCGGGAGGGTCTTTGCAGATGGGAGCTTGCAGGACAGGAAAGTCTTGTAGGGCAGAGATACCCAGAATGCCACAGGCTCTGCCTAGGTTCTCAGAATATGGACTAACTCTGATTGCTCTTTGTCTGCAATGCCCCAGAGATAAAAGCCCCTGGATGCATTGTGTGTGGTCAGACCTGGGGGCACCTTATCCTCTGTGCTCCAATGCAGATGCACCTTGATAACAATTATGGCAAAATTCAGTGTCCTAAGTTAGCATTTCTTTTTTTTTTTTTTTTGAGACGGGATTTCGCTCTTGTTACCCAGGCTGGAGTGCAATGGCGCGATCTCGGCTCACCGCAACCTCCGGCTCCTGGGTTCAGGCAATTCTCCTGCCTCAGCCTCCTGAGTAGCTGGGACTACAGGCACGCACCACCATGCCCAGCTAATTCTTGTATTTGTAGTAGAGACTGGGTTTCACCTTGTTGACCAGGATGTTCTCGATGTCTTGACCTCGTGATCCACCCGCCTCGGCCTCCCAAAGTGCTGGGATTACAGGTGTGAGCCACCGCGCCCGGCTAGCATTTCTTAGAAGAACAACATTTGCTACTGAATGCTGTAGACTCACACTCTCCCTCCATTTCGTCTTACCCGACAATAGCTTTAGTTTACCGTTCTCCCCTCCCCTCACCACAGCCGGCAAGATTAACAAGATAATGCACCTAATGAAAGCCTAGAGCTCAGCGCCAATGCCGTCCCATGCATGTTGCGTTAGTCCCCTGGGCCCATGCTGTGGGACCCTACTCTTGTCTTTGTCTTTATTTCTTTTCTCACTCCCTTGTCACCACTGGGACTAAGGGCACGCACGTACAGGGTTGGGGCTGGCATCCAACACTGTTTTTTTATAAAAATCCTTCTGGGTCTCAGTGTGTATCCAGACCTCATGTTATGAGCTGAATTTATCTTCCCACGTTCATACATTGAAGCCCTAACCCTCCCCAGTGCCTCTGAATGTGACTGTATTTGGAGATAAGGCCCTTAAAGAGGTCATTACGTAAAATGAGGTTGTATGGGTGGACCCTGGTCCACTGTAACTGGTGTCCTTATAGAAGAGATGAGGACACAGACACACAGAGGTCAGACCATGTGAGGACACAGGGAGAAGACGGCCATCCACAGACCAAGGTGAGAGGCCTCAAGAGAAACCAACCCTGCTGACGCTTTATCTCAGACTTCAGCCTCTAGAGCTATGAGGAAATAGATTTCTGCTGCGTAAGGCGCTCGATCTCTGGCATCTTGCAATGGCAGCCCCAGCAGGCTAATATATCTCATGTCTGTGAAACATGGGAAACATTATGACTTAAAATGCCCTGTGGCTGTAGTCTGTACTTAACTTGTTAGGAAGGGTGGTTTTTAAGATTCAAGGGGCTGGGCGCAGTGGCTCAAACCTGTAATCCCAGCACTTTGCGAGGTGAGGTGGGTGGATCACGAGCTCAGGAGTTCAAGACCAGCCTGGCCAATATGGTGAAAGCCTGTCTCAACTCAAACATACAAAAAATTAGTCGGGCATGCTGGTGTGCGCCTGTAGCCCCAGCTACTTAAGAGGCTGAGGCAAGAGAATCACTTGAACGCAGGAGATGGAGGGCGGAGATTGTGGTGAGCCGAGATTGTGCCACTACACTCCAGCCTGGGTGACAGAGCAAGACTCCGTCTAAAAAAAAAAAAAGAATCCAAGAGCCCTCAGTCCCTTCTCTTCCTCCAGATATGTGAATGCTTTATGGGTTTCTCATCCTATGAGCAGTTCCTCTCCGTGTGCACATTCACACAGGAGCACCTGTTTCTCTCCTATAGACAGACCCTGAGGTCAGAAATGGTGCCTCATTGATCTTTGTATCTTGTGATGTGCTCAGTACATGACATAGCATAAGAGTTCAGTAAATACGTTTGTTTAGTAAATGACGCATTGATATTTTAATGTATTGATGACATGGGCATATTTGGCCACAAAATCACCATATACAGATGGCACATAGGATGACATGGCATGTAGAGTGCTACATCACGTCTTTCCGGCTCTCTCTAACTGGCTCCTGGATCAAGTATTGCGTGTATGCCAATGAGTTGAGTATGTGATACTTTCAGCACCCAAGGCTATAGGGCAGGACACGATAACCTTCTAAGGTCCATCACTGAGCAAATGCTCGTCACAAGACTTTTCCTTTCTTCTTAATATGATGCACAACATGCAGACGTTCCACACTGAGTATCTCTCCCAACGCCGGAGCTGTGCTCACCTGGACCTGCTGCAGTATGTTCTTCAGCTGAACCAGAAACTCCTTTGCTTCCTTTGCCTTATCTGAAACTCCGTTTAAGGCCTGAGATAGTTGTGCCTGAAAAAGATACCACATGTTGAAAAGAAAAATTAGGTGTGAAAGGCACACAAAATTTGCACTTCATTGTAAAAGCTTATGCTTACAAGAGGGGATAGGACTGATCCCACGTACCTGCTGTTCTCATTGATGGAGGGACCACCACTGACGCATGATCCCTACAACATTTGTTTATTTGATTGATTGGTCTACATTCTCCTTTCTCGTTGCCAAAGCTGCATAGAAGTAAGGAGCACTCAACTGATTGGCTGACGTGAACAGGCCTGCCCCTGTTGTTTGCAGAGCCCAAGACAAGATAAATAGAGCCCTCGACTTGGCCTGGCCCCCTCTAACCATCATCAGTACATGCTTGTATGGACATTCCAGACCCCACGTCAAGTTCCGTCCAACCCATCCCCATATAGTCATCTCCTGGCATGGGGTGCACACCTTGGGGAGTGGTCTGTCCTGAAGCATGGACGGGAAGGGGCCTGTGGGTCCTGGAGGTTGACTAGGTGTATGGACTGGGGATCCTAAGGTATCCTCTAAAAGGGGCACACGGGCTCCTAGCCCAGTACCCCTAGCCCTGAGGATTCATCACCCTGAAGAGAGAGGCATGGCCAGCAGGGTCTTCTGAAGCATGAGGGTCAGTTGCTGGGGCCGGAGCATGAAACTGCAAGCTGAGCTCAAATCTACAGCTTTTGGCACCAGGCTTCTTTGTAACAAACCCCGGAACAGACAATTGATTTTGCCTTTAAAACCTAGCTATTGAGTAGACTGTAACCTTGATTTTTTTTTTTTTTTTTTGAGAAAGGTTTGCCCAGGCTAGAGTGTAGTGGCTCAATCATGACTCACTGCAGCCTCGATCTCTCAGGCTGAAGTGCTCCTCCCGCATCAGCCTCCTTAGTAGCTGGGACTACAGGTGTGCACTACCGTGCCCAGCTAATTTTTGTATTTTTTTTCTAGTAGAGACAGAATTTCACCACGTTGGCCAGGATGGTGTTGACCTCTCGACCTTATGATCTGTCCACCTCAGCCTCCCAAAATGCTGGGATTACAGGTGTGCACCAGTGTGCCCGGCCTTTTGCATTTTTTAGTAGAGATGGTGCCCAGGTGGTCTTGAACTCCTGGCCTCAAGCGATCCTCCCACCTTGGCCTCCCAAAGCACTGGGATTATAGGTGTGAGCCATCACGCCCATCCAGATTGTGACCTTGATTTTAAACATGACTCTCATGTTTCACATTAAAAAGCTGAGGATAGAACAAAGCAGAAGCAGAAAGGCCAGGGTCTCCTTCTTCCCCAAGTCCCCTCCCAGGTCTCTGCTCAGATGTCACTATGTCAGTGAGGACTTTCCTCACGACCTTGTACGATAGCCTCCTTGCCTTTCCCTGGCTTATTCTTCCACCTAACAGTCGTCAACACCCAACCTAGAAAATGTGTTTGCTGTCCTAGAATATAGGATGGGGCTTTTCTGGGTGGTTCGCAGCTTATCCCGGCACTGGAAGAGTGCTTGGCACGTGGTAGCATTAAATAAACATTTGTCTAATTTTTGTATTTTTTTTGTTGTTGAATGCATGAATCAATGAATGTGATTCTTTAGACCACACCAACGGTTGTCCAAAGCGTGGTTCTAGACCAGCAACATCAGCGTCACTGGGAGATTTGATGAGGTGCACCGTCTCTGGCTGCACCCAGATCTGCAGATGAGAAGCTGCTGGTGAAGCCCAGGAGTCTGGTTTACCAAGCCCTCCAGGGGGTTCTGATGCAGTTTGCAATCCCCTGGACTGTGCAAGTGCAGCCTCAGCTGAAAGCCTGTGGAAAAGATGGCAAAGGAAGCCATGGAGTGGATGAAAAGACACAGGGAGGTATGTGGAAGATGAGGAAGGGGGCCCAGTTCCAAGGAGCACCAGCACGCAAGGGAGGTCAAGGGCTGGGCTCTGTCTGCTCAGAGAGAGCAGGAGCCTCAGTCTGAGGATCAGTGGAGGTGCAGCTCCTTGGAGAAGCCTTTCCCTACACCATGGGGCTCATCACCCCCAGCCCCACCTCAGTGGGTTTAGGCCCTCCCCTCCATAGCTTGCCCACAGTGTACCACCATCTGTCGCCAGCATCTAGGCAGTGAAACTTCCCATAGAATGTACAGTGATGGCAGAAGTGTCCCAGCTCTGCCCTGCGCCCGATGGTAGCCACTAGCTGCCTGTGGGTACTGAGCACTTGAAGTGGCTAATGTGACTGAGGCGCTGGACTTTTTCTATTATTTAGTGTAAGTTTCAACTGCCATGTGTGATTGGCCAGTGGCTAGTCTCAGAGAGCACAGATTTGACACCCATCTGATAACCTACAGGTCACATTTGGCAGGCTTCCCGATTAACCACCGGGGGAAGGTCTCGTGATCCATGGCTTACATCCTGTCTCTGAGAAAAGGTTCTTAACCCGAGGCCCTCCAGTCTTACAGTGAGTTCCTCAAACTGTTGACATACTGATTAATACATAACCTATTGACATTGGGAAGGACACTGGAACTGGGTGGAATAGCTTATGCCTGTAATTCTGCCACTCAGAGGCAGAGGCAGAGGCAGAAGAACTGCTTGAGGCCAAGAGTTCAAGACCAGCCTGGGCAACATGGAGAGACCTCCTGGTCACACCCCTGGCCCTGCTTTCCCTGCTCATTCTCACCCTGTCTCTACAAAAAATATTTTTAAAATTAGCTGGGCATGGTGGTGTGTGCTTATAGTCCCAGATACTCAGAAGGCTGGGGCAGGAGGATGGCTTGAGCCCAGGAGGTTGAGGTTACAGTGAGCTATGATTATGACACTGTGCTCCAGCTTAGGTGACAGTGAGACTGTTTCTCAAAAAAAAAAAAAAATCACACATTTGTTTCTGAATCACAACGTTTTACTGATTGTCTTGCACATGGAAGGTTAGCCTGTATGTTGTCATCTATAGCCAATGAATGCAATCTGTATGTTGCAGCCATCAGTGGAAAAGGATACCTCTGACAGGAGGAGCTCTCCCTTCTCCTGCACTTTCTAGACAAGCTTCCAACCTGTGACAGGTTCTGGAACACACCCAGCTTTGTTGGTGTGTCTTCCCTGGTGGATCCTCACACCTGACTTCCAATGAACCTTTACCGAATTACTTCTGCCTCGACAGCCTTAATTTTGGCAAATCCGTAGTGAGGTGCAAGGCCCAGGACAACTCCACCCATCCCAGGATACTCACCCTCAAAAGGAGGCTGAGGGGTCAGCATTGTTCACAGCATCATATCCCTGGGGAATATCTCAAATGAAAGGGGTTTTCAAGTTGAAATTTATAAGTGACAGGGAAAGAATAGCAACCCTCCCCAAGATGCCCACCCAAAGAATGGCCTCCCTGGGGCTGGAGCTGGCCCCTCCTTTCTTGGTCAGCTCAGGCTGCAGTAACATAACACACAGACGTGGGACTTAAACCACAAACAGATTTCTTAGAGTTCTGGAGGCTGGAAGTCTCAGAGTCCAAGATCCAGGTGCCAGCGCGGTTGGTTCTTGGTGAGGGCGCTCTTCCTGATTAGGTCTTCACATGGTGCCGTGGTTTGGATATAGTATTTTTGGCCACATCCAATCTCATGTTGAAATTTGATCCCCAGTGTTGGAGGTGGGGCCTAGTGGGAGGAGTTGGGTCATGGGGGCGGGTCCCACATGAATGTCTTGGTACTGTCCTCCACTCCTCCTTAGCAAGTTCTTGCTGTATTAGTCCCCATGAGAACGGGTTGTTAAACAGAGCCTGGGCTCCCTCCTCTCAATTCCTCTCTCCCCATGTGATGCCTGCTCCCCTTGCCTTCCACCATGAGTGGAAACTTCCTGAGGCCCTCACTGGAAGCAGATGCTGGGGCCATGCTTCTTGTATGGCCTGCAGAATCATGAAGCCCCTTAAACCACCTTTCTTTATAAATGACCCAGCCTCAGGTATTCCTTTATAGCAACGCAAATGCACTAAGATGCATGGACTTTCCTTGGTGTGTGCACAAAGAGGACAGAGAGAGCTCTTTTGTCTCTTTCTCTTTTTGTAAGAGTGTTAATCCCATCAGAGGTGGCTCTGAGCATATCTAAACCTAATTACCTCCCAAAGGCTCCACCTCCTAATAGCAGCACATTAAAGATTTACGCATCAATGTATGCATTTGGAAGGGACACAAACATTCAGTCCATAGCGCCTCCCACTAATCACCGTCTTCAATGGAGAGATTTGTCTTTTGTCCCTACATTTCTAGCCTACTGTGCTACATAAAGTAGGAGCTCAACAAATTCTCCCTCTGAATAAACAGCAAAACAATTGCTTGACTCGGGGTATATGCGAAGAGTGGGAGAGATCCCTGCAGATTCACCACCGCTGCTAACACCTTCCCGGAGAAACCCAGCAAGTTAACTTCTACCTGAGAGGCCCAGTATCAGGGGCGAGGAGGGCTCTGCCCCAGCCAGCGCCAGCCTGCCAGGAGCCCAGCCCCCACCCAGAGCCTGCTGACCTGCTTTCAGCTTGTCGAGAAGACTGAGGAGCTTGGCAAGGAGCCCAAGAGCAGAGTGGTTTGAAGGAGAGCTGTGACCGCAGGCTAATGCCTGGTTGAAAGGGGGACAGTTTCACAGCTCAGTGGACACTGCTTCCTGACCCATCAGACTTGCCATCTAATTTTCCCTCCACTGCTTTTTGATGCCGTCTTGGTGAGGTCACCTGAATGCAAGCCACCCTGGGACCTGCCATGTGCTCAGCCACGTGACGACCCCATGCCCTGGTCTACAGCCATCGAAGAGCCCAAATGCGCAGTGTGAGGGCCAGGCGTGGTTGAGGGATGTCCTCACAAGCACACACTGGTCCTTTTCTTCAACCCAGTGCTTTGTGTGTGAATGACAAAAGTCACTTTTCTTCTCCCAGAGTACAGCATTGTGGAAACCAGACCTGATAATTCTAGTGTAAAAGGAGTAAAGGTTTTTGGAGGGAAAGAGCAACTGATTTTTTTTTTTTTTAGAAGATGGAGGTCTGGAGCAGTGGC